TTATATGTAATATAAATATATACACGCATACAATATATTAAATTATTAACATAGTACAATATCAGTATTAAATATTATATTGTCTTATACCATTATATTGTAATATTATTAGTAATATTATATGTAATATAAATATATACATGCATACAATATATTAAATTATTAGCATAGTACAATATCAGTATTATATATTACTATACACTATAGTAAATATTACTATGTTTACTATACTATATATTGTCTATACATATAATATGAATATTATATGTATAGACAATATATTATATTATTAGCATAGCATAATATCAGTATTATATATTACTATATTGTATTATACCATTATATTGTAATATTATTAGTAATATTACACATAATATAAATATATAATTATATTATTATTAGTGTTATATTGCATTACATGATAATATTTTAAATATTATATGTTAATACAATATATTATATTATATTACAATATGTAAATAAGCTTCTACTAAACCAATATGGCATAAACCTGGCTTTTGCAGAGCATGAGGATTTAAAACTGGACCTTTAAGACTTTTGGACTTCACTTCCCAGAATTCCTAAACATTGGGTAAGGCAGCCGAGGCTTCTGGGAGTTGAAGTTCAAAAGAACCAGAGCGAGATTGTCTTATTTGTGCACAGCGCATGCGCAAAACGGTGGTGCTTTTCTTCCCACCTCGGTGCGCAGGCGCGACTGCTTCTCTGGAGCGAAGCTGTTTTATTTGCCCACTGCGCATGCTCAAACGTTACTCTCCCTCAGTGCGCAGGCGCAGCTGCTCAGCTGGTGGCGCGAATTTCTTTTGCCACTGCGCATGCTCGGAATGTTAATTTTTCCCCCGACCTCAGCTACTTCTCTGTTGTTGTTCATTCGTTCAGTCGTCTCCGACTCTTCGTGACCTCATGGACCAGCCCACGCCAGAGCTCCCTGTCGGCCGTTACCACCCCCAGCTCCTCAAGGTCAGTCCACTCACTTCAAGGATGCCATCCATCCATCTTGCCCTTGGTCGGCCCCTCTTCCTTTTACCTTCCACTTTCCCCAGCATAATTGTCTTCTCTAGGCTTTCTGTCTCCTCATGATGTGGCCAAAGTACTTCAACTTTGTCTCTAGTATCTTTCCCTCCAGTGAGCAGTCGGGCTTTATTTCCTGGAGGATGGACTGGTTGGATCTTCTCGCAGTCCAAGGCACTCTCAGCACTGTCCTCCAACACCACAGCTCAAAAGCATCGATCTTCCTTCGCTCAGCCTTCCCTAAGGTCCAGCTCTCACATCCGTAGGTGACTACAGGGAATACCATGGCTTTGACTAGGCGGATCTTTGTTGCCAGTCTGATGTCTCTAATCTTCACTATTTTATCAAGATTGGGCATTGCTCTCCTCCCAAGAAGTAAGCGTCTTCTGATTTCCTGGCCACAGTCTGCATCTGCAGTAATCTTTGCGCCTAGAAATACAAAGTCTGTCACGGCCTCCACATTTCCCTCTATTTTCCAGTTGTCAATCATTCTTGTTGCCATAATCTTGGTTTTTTTTTGACGTTTAGCTGCAACCCGGCTTTTGCGCTTTCTTCTTTCACCTTGATTAGAAGGCTCCTCAGCTCCTCCTCGCTTTCGGCCATCAGAGTGGTGTCATCTGCATATCTGAGGTTGTTAATGTTTCTTCCAGCAATTTTCACCCCAGCCTTGCATTCCTCAAGCCCCGCACATCGCATGATGTGTTCTGCATACAAGTTAAAAAGGTTGGGTGAGAGGATGCAGCCTTGCCGTACGCCTTTCCCAATCTTGAACCAGTCTGTTGTTCCGTGGTCAGTTCTGACTGTTGCTCCTTGGTCCTTGTACAGATTCCTCAGGAGAGAGGGAAGGGGGCTTGGGATGCCCATCCCACTAAGAACTTGCCACAATTTATTATGATCCACACAGTCAAAGGCTTTAGAATAGTCAATGAAGCAGAAGTAGATGTTTTTCTGAAACTCCCTGCCTTTCTCCATTATCCAGCATTCGGATATTGGCAGTCTGGTCTCTCGTTCCTCTGCCTTTTCTAAACCCAGCTTGAACATCTGGCAACTCTCGCTCCATGTCTTGCTGGAGTCTTCCTTGCAGGATCTTGAGCGTTCCCTTCCTGGCATGAGAAATAAGGGCCACTGTACGGAAGTTTGAGCAGTCTTTCGCATTTCCCTTTTTTGGTATGGGGATATAAGTTGATTTTTTCCAGTCTGATGGCCATTCTTGTGTTTTCCATATTTGCTGGCAAATGGCATGCATCACCTTGACAGCATCATCTTTTAAGATTTTAAACAGTCAGCTGGGATCCCGTCGTCTCCTGCTGCCTTGTTGTTAGCAATGCTTCTTAAGGCCCATTCAACCTCACTCCTCAGGATGTCTGGTTCTAATTCATTCACCACACCGTCAAAACTATCCTCAATATTATTATCTTTCCTATACAGATCTTCTGTATAGTCTCGCCACCTTCTCTTGATCTCTTCAGCTTCTGTTAGGTCCCTGCCATCTTTGTTTCTTATACCAATTTTTGCCTGAAATTTACCTCCAATGTTTCTAATTTTCTGGAAGAGGTCTCTTGTCCTTCCTATTCTGTTGTCTTCTTCCACTTCCATGCATTGCTTATTTAAAAATAGTTCCTTATCTCTTCTGGCTAACCTCTGGAATTGCGCATTTAACTGGGCATATCTCCCCTTTTCACTGTTTCCTTTTGCTTTCCTCCTTTCTTGGGCTACTTCCAGTGTCTCAGCAGACAACCATTTTGCCTTCTTGGTTTTCTTTTTCTTTGGAACGTACTTTGTTGCCGCCTCCTGAACAATGTCGCGGACTTCTGTCCATAGTTCTTCTGGGACTCTGTTTACTAAATCTAGTCCTTCAAATCTGTTCTTCACTTCCACTGTATATTCGCTAGGAATGTTAGTGAGATCATATCTAACTGGTTTGTGTATTTTCCCTGATCTCTTTAGTTTTATTCTAAATTGAGCAATAAGAATTTCGTGATCTGAGCTAGTCAGCCCCAGGTCTTGTTTTCACCGACTGGATGGATGTCCGCCACCTTTGGCTGCAAAGGATGTAGTCAATCTGATTTCGGTGCTGACCATCTGGTGAGGTACATGTATAAAGCCGTCTTTTAGGTTGTTGGAAGAGAGTATTCGTTATACACAGCGAGTTTTCCTGGCAAAATTCTATCAGCCTGCGTCCCGCTTCATTTTGTTCTCCCAGACCATGCTTGCCTGTGATGCTTGCTACTTCTCTAGAGCGGGGCTATTTTATTTGCCCACTGCGCATGCTCAGAACGTTAACCACCCCTCTCAGTGCGCAGGCGCGGCTGCTTCTTATCTAGCGTCGGCGGGAAACAGGTTCATTTGGTCACTGCGCATGCTCGGAACGTTGATTTTTTTTTCTCCCGACGTCAGTGCGCAGCTACTTCTAGTTGAAGTCTGTTCTATTTGCCCACCGCGCATGCTCAAAACGTTACTCCCTCTCAGTGCGCAGGCGCGGCTGCTTCTTATCTAGCGTCGGCGGGAAACAGGTTCGTTTCGCCACTGCGCATGCTCAGAATGTTGAAATTTTTTCCCTCGACGTCAGTGCGCAGGCGCAGCTGCTTCTAGGTGAAGTTTTTTATTTGCGCACCGCGCATGCTCAGAACGTTACCCCCTCTCAATGCGCAGGCGCGGCTACTTCTAGCTGAAGTGATATATTTGCGCACCGCGCATGCTCAGAACGTTACCCCCTCTCAATGCGCAGGCGCGGCTACTTCTAGCTGAAGTGATATATTTGCGCACCGCGCATGCTCAGAACGTTACCCCCTCTCAATGCGCAGGCGCGGCTACTTCTAGCTGAAGTGATATATTTGCGCACCGCGCATGCTCAGAACGTTACCCCCTCTCAATGCGCAGGCGCGGCTACTTCTAGCTGAAGTGACATATTTGCCCACCGCGCATGCTCAGAACGTTACCACCTCTCAATGCGCAGGCGCGGCTTATTCTTGCCTGTGGAGTCAGGGCGAGGGACTGGTTTAATCGCCCACCGCGCATGCCCGGAGCGTTCCTCCCTCTCAGTGCGCAGGCGCGGCTGCTTCTTGCCTGTCGAGTCAGGGCGCGAGACTGGTTGGATTGCCCACTGCGCATGCTCGGAACGCTACTCCCTCTCAGTGCGCAGGCGCGGCTTCTTGTATGTCGAGTCAGGGCGCAATATTGTTAGGATCATATAAATATAAAAGCTTTTTTTTAAAAAAAAATCAGTCTTCAAATACAATTTTTTTGCCTTGAATTGCCCATTGCGCATGCTCGGAACGTGCGCAGGCGCGGCTGCTTCTATCTGGTGTTAGATTTGTCCACCGCGCATGCTCAGAACGCTACCACCTCTCAATGCGCAGGCGCGGCTGCTTCTTACCTGTCGAGTCAGGGCGCGAGACTGGTTTAATCGCCCACCGCGCATGCTCGGAACGTTTTCCCCTCTCAGTGCGCAGGCGCGGCTTCTTCTTGCCTGTGGAGTCAGGGCGCGAGACTGTTTTAATCGCCCACCGCGCATGCTCGGAACGTTCCTCCCTCTCAGTGCGCAGGCGCGGCTGCTTCTAGCTGGTGTTATATTTGCCCACCGCGCATGCTCAGAACGTTCCTCCCTCTCAGTGCGCAGGCGCGGCTTCTTCTTGCCTGTCGAGTCAGGGCGCGAGACTGGTTGGATTGCCCACTGCGCATGCTCGGAACGTTTCTCCGTCTCAGTGCGCAGGCGCGGCTTATTCTTGCCTGTGGAGTCAGGGCGAGGGACTGGTTTAATCGCCCACCGCGCATGCCCGGAGCGTTCCTCCCTCTCAGTGCGCAGGCGCGGCTGCTTCTTGCCTGTCGAGTCAGGGCGCGAGACTGGTTGGATTGCCCACTGCGCATGCTCGGAACGTTTCTCCGTCTCAGTGCGCAGGCGCGGCTTCTTCTTGCCTGTGGAGTCAGGGCGCGAGACTGTTTTAATCGCCCACCGCGCATGCTCGGAACGTTCCTCCCTCTCAGTGCGCATGCGCGGCTGCTACTGTTTCCCTGAGGAGAATCCGCTCGCCGCCTCGTCCGCCATTTTGCCCGCGCGCCTCCTTCCTCCTCGGCTTCTTTTCCCCTTTCCTTCCCCGGGAAGCGAGCCACGCCGATGCAGGCGGGGGTGAAGGTCTTCGTGGGCAACGTGCCTGAGGAGACGTCCCAGGTGGAGCTGCGAGACCTCTTCCAGGCGGTGGAGCCCGGCGCGGTGCTCAAAGTGGCCCTCATGAAGCAGTTCGCCTTCGTGCACCTGCGCGACGAGGCCGCGGCCGAGCGGGCCATCTCCAAGCTCAACGGGCAGCTCGTCCACGGGCACCGCGTCGTCGTCGAGCACTCCCGCCCGCGCCCCACCCACACCGTCAAGGTCTTCGTCGGGAACGTCTCCGCCGCCTGCACCAGCGGGGAGCTCCGCGCCCTCTTCCAGGAGTACGGCCCCGTCGTCGAGTGCGACATCGTCAAAGGTACCGAGGAAGAAGGGCGCCACCACCACTCAGGCCTTCTCCCCACCCTTCCTTCTCTCGTTCCCTTTGCTTTCTGTCTTCCCTTCTCTCTTTCTACTAATAATAATAATAATCTTTCTCTCTTTCTATTAATAATCTTCTATGTATATAAATGTAATGTTCGTTTGAGGGATTAACATATCTGAAAAACCACACACACACTCAAAAAACACACACAGAAAGGGGGAAGGAAGAAGGAGGGAGGGGAGGGAAAGGAAGAAGGGGAGAGAAGGAAGGAAGTAGAGAAGGGGGAGAGAACGGAAAGAAAAGAGGAGGGAAGGAGAGAAGGAAATAAAGAAAGAAGGGTGGAGAAGGAAAAGAAGGGAGGGAAGGAAAGAAGAAGGAAGAAAGGAAGAGGGAAGAAGGAGAAGGAGAAGAAGGAAAGAGAAGAAGAGAAGGAAGGAAGGAGAGAAGAGGAGGAAGGAAAGAAGGATAGAGAAGGAGAAGGAAGAGAAGGAGAAGGAGAGGAAGGAGAGAAGGAAGGAAAGGAGAGAAGGAAGGAAGGAAAAGGAGAAGGAAGAAGAAAAAGGAGGAAAGAAGGAGGGAAGTAGAGAAGGAAGATAAGAATAGAAGAGGGTCGAACAATCGCGCCCCTAGTCCGTGCGTGGGGATACTGTGTGCGTGTGAAGGTCTGGGCGGGTAGAAAAAGCGACAGCGTGACCGGGACGGAGAGAGGGGGGGGAAGGTTTGTGTTAGAATCTTGTGAAGTAGGAAGAAAGAAGGGAGAAGGAAGAATGAAAGAAAGAAGGGGAAGAAAAGGAGAAGAAGGAGAAGGGAGAAGGAAGGAAAAGAGAGAAGGAGAGAGAAAGGAGAGAAAGAAGGAAGAGAAGGAAGAGAGAGAAGGAAGGAGAGAAAAGAGGAAGAGAGAGGAAAAGGTAGAAAAGGAAGGAAGGAGAGAAGGAATAAAAAAGTGGAAGGAGAGAAGGAAGAAAGAAAGAGAAGGAAGGAAAGAGAGAAGGAGGGAACCAAAGAGAGGAAAGAAAAAAGAAAAGGGAAAGGAAGAAAGAAAGGGAAAGAAAAGAGGGAAGGAAGGAAAGAGGAAGAGAAAGAATGGAGAGAAAGAATGAGGGCAGGTTGGCCACTGTGGCGGGTACAGCTAGGATATATATATAAATAAATGTAATGTTCGTTTGCGGGATTAACATAACTCAAAAACCACTGGATGAATTGACACCAAATTTGGACAGAAGACACCTAACAACACAATGTGTGTCCTTCACTCACAAAACCACTGAAAAACACAGCAGAAGGGACTTAAAATGCCCCCAAAAGCTAAATGACAATACAGAAAAAGGAAAGAAAGAGGGAGGGAAGGAAGGGGAGAAAAAAAGAAAGAAAAGAAAGAGTAAGGGAAAGAAGAAGGAAGAGGAGAAGGAAGCATGGAAGCAAAAGAGAGAAGGAAGGAAGGAAAGAGAGAAGGAAGAAAGGAGAGAAAGAGGCAGGGAAAGAAAAAGGGGGAAGGAAGGAAAGTTAGAGAAGGAAAGAAAAAAGGGAAAGAAGGAAGGAAAGAGGGAGCGAAGGAAGGGGGGAAGATGTAGAGAAAGAGAGAAGGAAGAAAAGAGAGACAGCAGAAGACTGCCCATCAAACCCTTTCAGTATTTTCTCTTGGTCTTGGGAGTTATGTTTGCTAAGTTTGGTTCAATTCCGTCATTGGTGGGGTTCAGAATGTTATTTGATTGTAGGTGAACTATAAATCCCAGCAACTACAACTCCCAAATGACAAAATCAATTTTTTGAGTGAAGGGCATACATTGGGTTGTTAGGTCTTGTGTCCAAATTTGGTGTCAATTCGTCCAGTGGTTTATGAGTTCTGTTAATCCCACAAACGAACATTACATTTTTATTTCTATCGATACAATATATTATACGTACAATTTATTTCGGACATTTCTATCCCGTCCTTCTCACCTCCGAAGAGGGACTCAGGACAACTTGCAGTAGGCAGCCATTAGATGCCAAAAACAATACATTAAAACACACAGTTATAATTGACACAATTAAAACAGTTATAGGCATTCAATTAAAACAATTATGTCAGGTCAAGACATGATCCAAATCTTTCCATTGCAGTCCGCTAAGACATTCTCTTCCCCCTTATGCCTCCTCCCTTTCTTTTCTCTTCCTTCATACATCCCTTGCTTCCTTTTCCTTCTTTTTTTAATTCCCTCCTTCCTTCCCTTGACTTCATACAGATGGCACCAAGCAACAGCCAATCCGTTTCATGGCTCTGGACCTGAAAGGAATGGGTTTTTTAAAAATTTGGATAATGAAGGGTCTGTGTGCCAAGCTAGGTCCAGATCCATCAAGCTTTTGTGATCTAAACAGACAAGCATACATACATGTTTTGACTTTTATATATACAACAGCCAGCAGCTTATTTTGAAGTGACCTGCCTGGCAGATCGGTCCTTGGGGTCTTTTCCAACTTTAGGGTTCTGTGCCTTTTACAGACCCTAACAGATGAGAGAGAGTTGGGCCAAGACCAACAAAGGGAACTTGACCAAGGAGAAATATAAAGCACTACACTTAGGCAGGGGAAAAAATGAAACACAGATGTACAGGATGCAGGGCACGCTCTTGACTCTGAATCCCTTTGAGTCACTTAGGGAGCTGGGCATGTTTAGCTTGAGAAGGCTGAGAGAAGGGGGCGTTTAAATGTTTGGAAAAGAATGTCCAATTGAGGAGAGGGCAGACTTATTTTCTGCTGCTCCAGAGACTAGGACACAATAGAAAGTTTGATTCTAATTGCAGAAAAAGAGATTCCACCTAAACATTAGAAAGAACCTCCTGGTGGTAAGAGGTGTTTAGCTGCGCCTTGGAGTCTCCTCTGGGGTTTTTGAAGCAGAGGCTGGATGGCCATCTGTCGGAAGAGCTTGGATTGTGTCTTCCTACCTGGCAGAATGGGGTTGGATCAGTTGGCACTTGGGGTCGCTTCCAGATCTAGGATTCTTTGTGTTGGATTTTTTTAAGGAAAGCTGCCCTCTAACCATCTCTTATGGTCAAATGCGCCCCTTGAGAATCACAGGCAGAATATGGTCCGGTCTGTCGTTGAGCAAAGACATGGGATTCTTTCAGAGCAATACCCGCCGAAGCGTACTTGTATCCGTCCGTCCCACAACGCGTCTCCCTTTTTGTATGCACTCGAACAGGTTTGCTTCTTGCATTCATTCTACTGCACCCAATGTGCAGAAAATTCCCTAGTGAGGACATTCATTAGAATCTCATTTTTAAAAATTCAACTGACTTGGATATATATCCCTTGTTCCTCAATGGAATGGGAAGTTAGGTACAATCTATATAAATAAAAATGCAATGAGCGTTTGTGGGATTAACAGAACTCAACAACCACTGGGCGAATGGACACCAGATTCGGACACATGACACCTATCAGACCAACGAATGACCATCACCCCATAACACACACAAAACCCCAGCGGAACAGACTTAATCCCCCCCAAATATACCATATATACATATATACATATACTCATACATATACACATGCACACATTCATACACACATGCACACATATATATATGCACAAACACACAAAAATATACACATATACACACATATATACATATACACATGCACACATAATATACACATGCACATACATATACAAATACACACAAATATACACACCAACACACACAGACACACACACACATAAACACATATACACAGACTGGGCCACAGCAATGCGAATTGTAATGTTTGTTTGTGGGGTTAACATAACTCAAAAACCACTGACGAATTGACACCAAATTTGGACAGAAGACACCTTTCAGGCCAATGAGTGACCATCACCCCATCACACACACAAAACCCCAGCAGAACAGACTTAAAACCCCCCAAAACATACCATATATACATGTACACATATACTCATATATATATACATATACACATGCACACATTCATACACACACACATGTATATATATGCACAAACACACAAAAATATACACATATACACACACATATATACATGCACACATATATACACATACATATACAAATACAGACATATATACACTCACACCCACAGCAACACACACACACACACACATATATATATATATAAATATAAATATATACAAATGCAAATATATACACACACATAAACACATATATACAGTCTGGGCCACAGCAATGTGAATTGTAATGTTTGTTTGTGGGATAAACATAACTCAAAAACCACTGGACAAACTGACACCAAATTTGGACAGAAGACACCTCTCAGGCCAAGGAGTGACTATCACCCATAAATACACTGAAAAACACAGCAGAAGGGACTTAAGAAAAAAATCACAATGCATGTGCAAAATCACATATATTCACAAAGACACATATATACACAAATATGTGCACACACATATACATAGACACAGACTGGGCCACAGCAACGTGTGGCAGGGAACGGCTAATGGAATATAATCCAGTGTCGTTGGAGAATAGTTTTCTTTTTTCCACTTTTGGTGTCTTAGTTAAACCTTGTTATCAGTTGGTCAGTCTGCTTTGTATCAAATGCTTTCTTTTTCACAAAAAAATTGCTTCTCATTTCAGAAATTCTAAAGAGGACTGCAAGGAGATAACAGCAAACGACTTAATGATTTGTGGCATCTTTGCTCATTTATTTAATGCGGGTTTATTCATCTGAGCAAAGCCGGATATAAAATTTCCATATTTACTATATGGGAATAAGACCTAGATTTTAAAGGCAAATGTTTTACGATAGCTATGGAATATGTGCAGAAATAATTGAATGTATTGTCCTACAACAGGCATGGGCAAACTTGGGCCCTCCAGGTGATTTGGACTTCAACTCCCACAATTCCTAACAGCCTACCGGCTGTTAGGAATTGTGAGAGTTGAAGTCCAAAACACCTGGAGGGCCCAAGTTTGCCCATGCCTGTCCTACAACAACCCAATAATTGAATGAATTAGGAAATTCTTCCAGCTGTAACGTCAACATAGGAGGCCCATTTGTTATTTGAATTGTACAGATTAAGACCCCTTTCCACCAAGGTAGTAAATACCAACTTTACAAAAAATGAAGTTGGGGTGAAACTGGATTCTTTTTCCCTAAGCTCCTCCAGTTAAATGCATCTTGTCGGAACGCGAGCGTCTCAAAATGCCAAATGCACTTGCGCCTTCGTGTGTGCGTATGCGTGTGCGCCATTGCCTGGAAAGGTCTGCATGCCGTTCGATCCCTGAATGAAATGGTCACTTGAGCGACAAGTGCTCTCCCGAGTCCGTCATGAATTCCCAGGACCCGGCGTTGCGCCGTTCTGTTAGGAACCCGCTACCTCCCTACTATATCATTAAGTAGAGCAGGAGGGAGAGGTCCTAGAAACATTTCCCATTGCGTTATATGTTAAGAGTTGATGCGCACCATCTTCTGAATACCATTTTCCATTCCTAAGTAACATCTCATTTTTTTCTAGGACTGTTAATTCCACCCGGAACTACACTGTTTAATATGTAGAGGTGTACAGAAGCAAGGAACATCCAAAAAGGGCTCCATTGAGTGAGCTTGGCGGTGACCCTGTGGTCTTCCAAGTGTTAAAATACATGTTCTGTGATCCTATTACCACATTTTGAGGATTTGATGGGAAGTGGGCTCCAGGAGTGTCTTGAGGATCAGCAGTTCTCCAAGTTGTAGGCCCTGCACCCAATTCCAGAATAGAGTCATGGTTTTCTAATCTGTAGGTGGGGTTCTTCATCTTTCAGAATCTTGAGCATATTGGGAGTCAGTTCTGCTATACTGTCCACAGCTTTACAGTAAAAATATTACCGTATATACTCGAGTATAAGACCCGAATATAAGCCGAGTCACCTAATTTTACCCCAAAAAAACTGGGAAAACTTATTAACTCAAGGAGAAGCTTAGAGTGGGATATTCAGCACCTACTGGTAAATTCCAAAATAAAAATAGATACCAATAAAATTACGTTAATGGCATCAGTAGAGGCATTACGTTAGAGGCATCAGTAGGTTAAATGTTTTTGAATATTTACCATATTTCAAAGAAAAACAGTAAATTAGCTATGAAAGCGGAAAAGTAGGGAAAACAAAAACAATATGGTAGCAACAATAACTTCATAATAAAAATAATCTTCATTTGTATCCCGCCCTATCTCTCCATGGAGACACAAGCCAGCTTCCAACATAGTGTATAAACAATTTATTGCTTGTTGTTTAATATTGCTTTAACTGTTTTTAATTTGCTTTAGGTTGTGTATTGTTATGTTGTGTTTTGAGGCTTTGGCCTTTGTAAGCCGCATCGAGTCCTTCGGGAGATGGTAGCGGGGTACAAATAAAGATAATGATAATAATAATAATAATAATAATAATAATAATAATAATAATCAATGCAGAACTACAGATACATCTATAATTATATATACTAATTTCACGTATGCATTTCCCCCGAAACATTTGCAAATCCTCTCTATATATGTGCATTTCCCTCCTGCAATATTTGCAAGCCATATATATCTGTTTATATCTGTGTCTAGACCTCCCTCTCTCTCTCTATATGTGTGTGTGTGTGCATTTCCCCTGCAATATTTGCAAGCCTTATCCATCTATATTCATATCTTTCTAGACATGTCTGCATATATTTGTATGTGTATTCCCCTATAATATTTTTGCAAACCCTATAAATCTTTTTTCATATCTATCTATCTAGACATCTCTCTCTATATAGATAATAATATCTACATAGGATTTGCAGAGACTTGCAAATATGTGAAAGGAAAATTCATGTATAAAATAATGTATACATACAGATGCACTTATACAGGTACATGGAAATCTCTAGATATCTATATCTATATATATAGGATTTGTAAAGACCTGAAAACATATGAGGGGGAAATTCGTATATAAAAATAATGTATATTGATAGACAGATACAGATATATACTGTAGGTACATAGGGATTGCAAAGGCTTGCCTATATACTGTATATACCCGAGTATATAGCCTAGTTTTTCAGTCCTTTTTTTAGGCTGAAAAAGTCTCCCCCGGTTTATACTCGAGTCAAGGTTATTTATTATTTTACTTTGTTGTTGTTGTTGTTATTATTGTTGTTGTTTTACTTTATTATTGTTGTTACTACATTTATTATTTTACTCTATTATTGTTATTGTTACATTTATTATTTTACTCTATTATTATTTTACTCTATTTATTATTATTGGGAGGATGCGTAAGCATATTTACATTGAAGAAGGTTAGAATAATGGTTGAATCAGAGTTGGACAGTCTTATGTTGAATTACAGTTTTATGTAAATATTCAAAGACATTTAACCAACTGATGCCTCAATTAATGTAATTTTATTGGTATCTATTTTTATTTTGAAATTTACCAGTAGCTGCTGCATTTCCCACCCTTGGCTTATATTCGAGTCAATCCATTTCCCCAGTTTTTTGTGGTAAAATTAGATGCCTTGGTTTATATTCGGGTCGGCTTATACTTCGAGTATATACAGTTTCTGTAGAAGAGATTAACAACTATTTCGGGGAGAAACACTTTTAAGAGAATAATGGATATTCCTGATTTGCGAGGGCTTCTCTCCCTCTCCTTTCCCTTTTCAAAACATTCCAGCCTGGGAGGAGAAGCAGAGCAGAAGTAGAAAAGAAAACACACTGTTAAGGGAGGGAAAGATGAAAGAGAAATATCGTATATACCCGAGTATAAGCTGACCCGAATATAAGCCGAGGCACCTAATTTTACCGCAAAAAACTGAGAAAACGGATTGACTCGAGTATAAGCTGAGGGTGGGAGATGCAGCAGCTACTGATAAATTGCAAAATGAAAATAGATACCAATTAAATTACACTAGTTGAGGAATTAGTAGGTTCTATATTTTTGAATATTTACAAAAATTGTAATTTAAGACTGTCCAACTCTGATTAAATGATTATTTACCTTCTTTAATATAAATGTGCGTATGTATCCTTCCAATTATAATAAAGAGAGTAACATAATAAATGTAATAATAACAATAATAAAAAGAATAAAATAATGAATGTAGCAATAACATTTATACAGTAAAATCATAAATGTATAATAATAAAGTAAAATGATAAATGTAATAATAAATAGAATAAAATAATAAATGAAATGAAAATAATAATAATAACAGAGTAAAATAATAAATAACCTTACTTGAATATAAGCTGAGAGGGACTTTTTCAGCCTAAAAAAGGGGCTGAAAAACTAGGCTTATACTCGAGTATATACAGTATATCATATATTGCTTATAATGGCCTCCAGACTCCACAGCCCGGCTTCACTCCATTATGAGCCGAGGCATGATTTTTCAGCCCAAGAAAAGGGCTGAAAAACTCAGCTTATCTTCGAGTATATAGGTACTTAATTTGGAAGTAATGCTAGTCCTTGCCCCCATGTGCTTCAATTTTCTTTACATTGGGCAAAATGGGAATCCCCTGATAATGGGAGAGTCACTTTGAGAAGGAGAATGTCAGACTTGCAGCTTTGCGGTGTAGTTTGGTTTTTCCATGTGCTTTGGGGTAGATCAAATGATAGCATGGAACTTCGAACTCCGTTGCAAAAGCCTTCTAAGCCCTTTGGCCTGGATGCATCTGTTTTTTCTTCTTCTTCTGAGAACTCACCTTTGATAAATCCTTTTTTGATCCAAAGTATTGTGTGATCGTCGATGAGTCTGATGCATGAGTATTCAAGGTAGATATATAGCACCTTTGCTCTGCTGAGTACCAGAATTATAGCACAACTAACCCACTGTTTGCATTGTCCATCTCCCAAAGAGATGCCTTGTTGGCTGAGTGCTTTCATTGTCAAATTCCGAGGAGTAAGATGTCATATGTCCCTTATTGATAACCTTCTGTCTACTGCTTTGTCAGACTATGCGTTCGTTCACATGGAGAAGGACGAGGACGCTGCGGCCGCCATTGAACATCTTAATGGAAGGGAAGTCAAAGGAAGACGAATTAATGTCGAACTCTCAAATAAAGCTCATAAAAGGGGCCCGACCGCCGTCGGGGCCCAGCTGGGTCTCGGAGGCGAAAAGCACAAAATACCAACAATAGAGAAACTCCAAGTCCGGAATGAAGGCGTGAGGCCTGGCAATCTGGCTTTCCCAATGGCGGCATCGTCTTATTCCTCACTTGAATATGATTACCAGCAGCAGCAGCAGCGCCTGGGAAACAGTGGTTTATCCAAATTTGACTCCCAAGACAGTCAGGCCGCTTCCTATTTTGGAAGGGATCGGAGCCCCATTCGGCGCTCCCCCACCAGAGCAGGCTACGTGGTCCCCCTGACAGCCCAGGCAGCCGCTTACAGAGACCAGCCTTCCGCCTCCCTGGGAACGGCCTACAGAGACCAGCCCACAGCAGCCCTTGGCATGGCCTACAGGCCCCAGCCGACCACTGGGCAGGCAGCGATGTACAGAGCCCAACCCTCAACCCTGCATGGCAGTGCATATAAGTCCCAGTCCTCTGTTTCTCTGGGAACATCGGGTGCCCAGTCAGCAGCCTCGGCCCTCTCTGCCTACAATGCCCAGGCAGCTGCCTACAATGCCCAAGCAGCCGCGTCCCAAGTGGCTTCTTATGAGGCGCAGACCATGGCTTCATACACAGCTGCTTATGGAGCACAGGCCGCTGCAACGTATGCGGCTTCCTATGGGGCCCAAGCTGCTGCATTTCCTGCAACGTACGGGGCTCAGTCTGCAGCCAGCCAGGCCGCGTTGTACAGTGCCCATCCTCTCTCGGCCCAGTCAGCTTCATACGGCGTTCAGCCCGCAGTGGGCCATGCCACGGCTTCCTATGGGGCCCAGGCTGCCTCTACTCTCCCTGCTGCGTATGGGGCTCAGTCTGCTGCGAGTCTGGCGGCTGCTTATGGTATGCAGGATGCAGCTGCTGCTTCTTATAAAGCCTCGGTGCCATCCGCCTACAGAACAACAGTCGAGGCCGCCTACGCGGCGCAGCAGTCCGCTTCCGTTCCCTTGGCAGCGGGTTACAAAGCCCAGCAGGCATACAACGCGTTGGCTCAGACGGCGCAGCAGGTGATGCCCTCTTCAGGAATGCTGCAGTCTGAAGCCGCTGGCCTCCACCCGTTGTATGAACGCACACGCCTGTCCCCACCACGTGTGAGCCGCGAAGACCTCTACCGGAAGGCAGCTGCGATGATAAATAAGAGGTATGCGGCCGAACTAGGGGGAATGCTTTGCGGGTCCGTCATGCCTTTTCTCTCCTAGGCTGCCTCTCTGCTTCCAGGTTGACTCGAAGGAATCGTCCCCTCTGCAGGTTCTGGGGGTGCCGGGCTTCACACGGGGAGATGTTTGGAAGGAAGGATGGGCTGGATTCGGGTCTCGCCCTTTCCCGGATCATTTCTCTTTTGCTTCAGCTGACCTTTCAAACCTTTTCTGTCCTTCACGCTGTGGGGAGGGGAGCACCTTGGGGCTCCACGCGACAAGATTTCCTTTGGATAATTGGGAATCATTGTTTGGACAAGTGGGCTTGGTAGCAAATCCTGAGAATGGGAAATCCTTTTCGTTTTCGGAAATATCATATACCTGACTAGATCCTACCACAGGTATGGGCAAACCCAGGCTCTTTTCTCAGGACTCTTTCCTCAGGCTGTCCTCTCTCGCCATCCTATCCTTCCTTCTTTCTTTCCCTCCCTCCCTTCTTCTCCACCCTTTCATCCTTCCTTCCCTCCCTCTTACTCCTTCCTACCTGCCTTCCTTCCTCACTCCTCTTCTCCTCCTTCCTTCCCTCCTACCCTTTAATCCTTCCTTCCCTCTTTTCTCTTCCCCTCTCTTTTCCTTTCTTCCCTTTGTCTCTTCCTTCCTTCCTCCTTCTTCCTTCCTCTCTCCCCTCTTGTCTTTTCTCCATTGTGGGGGTTTTTTGTGTGTTGTTGAAAAGGGGGGGGGGGGAAGGTTGTGGGGGGGGGGGGGGGTGTTGGGGGGGGTCTCCTCCTCCCCTCCTTCTTCCCTTCTACCCTTTCGCTTCCCTCCCCTTAGTCTTGTAAGAAAAAAATCCTTCTTCACTTTTTTCATCCCTTCTCTTTGCTCATCTTTTTCTTCTTCCCTCTTCTTCTTCTCCTTTCTCCTTTTTCCTTCCTCCCTTTCTTCCTCCTCTTTCTTTTCCTCCTCCTCCTTCTTCCCTTCCCTTCCTTCCCTCCTTCCTTCCTTCCCTCTTATCTTTCCTCCCTCCTTCCTTCCCTTCTACCCTTTCATCCTTTTTTCCCTTTCTCCTTCTTCTCCCTCTCATTTTCTCCTTCCTTCCTTTTTGTCTTCTCTCCCCCTCCTTCCATTCCCTTCCTCCCTCCCTCTTGTCTTTCCTCCTCCCTCCTTCCTCCTTCCTTTCTACCCTTCCCCTTCCTTCTTTCCCCTTCCTTCCTCCTCCTTCCCCTTTGTCTTTCCTCCTCCTTCCTTCCCTTCTTTCCTCTCCCCCCCTCCTTCCTTCCCTTCTACCCTTCCCTTTCCCTTCCTTCCTTCCTTCCCTTTGTCTTTCCTCCCTCCTTCTTCCTTCTACCTCTTTCATCCTTCCTTCCTCTTTCCTCTTCTCCCTCTCTTTTTCTCCTTCCTCCTTCCTTCCTTCTTCCTTTCCTTTTTCTTTTCCTCCCCTCCTTCCTTCTCCTTCCTTCCTTCTTTTTTCCTTCCTCCTTTTCTTCCTGGGGGATGTTTAGCTGTTTAGAGAGGGAATATGAGAACCTTCTTTCAATATTTCAAAGGGTGTCCCATTGAGGAGGAGGGAAAATTGACTTTCTGCTGCTCTAGAGACCAAGGCACAAGGGAGCAATGGGTTCAAATGACAGGAAAAGATTCGACTGAAAAGATTAGGAACTTCCTGGAGAGTGGCATAGGCTGTCTCTTGGGAGTGTGGTGGAGTCTCCTCTGGAGACTTTCCTGCAAATGTTGTCTATCAGGAGTGCTTTGATTGTGCCTTCTTGCATGGCAGGGGGTTAGACTGGATGGCCCTTGGGGATCTCTCCCAACTCTAGGATTCTATATCAGGAGTAGGCAATACGGGGTCGAATTGAGACACTTTTACTCTCTCCCATCCACCATCCCATCCTGATCAAGGCCAAACCTTTCAGGATCCAAACCTTTCCTGTCTTTCCTTCGCTTTCTGCATCCAAAAGAGAAGAGAAAGGGGAGCAAAGAGCAGAGAACCCCCAAGATAGAAAGTTTGCCCATACCTGAAGGGAAACTACATTTGCGTGCCTCCTAAATTGGGTTTTATTAGTAAGGGTTGCAATGACTGGCTTTTCCTTGACTATGACATAAGCCTTTCCATTTTAAGCATTGGGTACAATTTCCTAAATGTCAGTCCTGCATTTAGCATATGCTATTTTCAAGCGTCGCCGAAAGGCTGAGAAAGGCGGTATACAAATACAGTAAATAAATAAACAAAGAAATAGGGAGCGTGGGTGAAGAATTGTATTTATTTATTTTATTTTATTTGTTTTTTATTTATTTATGATGCAATGGGGAATTATTTTTATTTTCTATTTTATTCTATTTATTATTTAATTATTTATTATTTATTTATGATGCCATGGGGAATTATTTTTTATTTTATTTTATTTAAAATCTTTTTATTGAGTTGGTCTATGAAAAGTTGTAATATTACAACGAAAGCGTGAGGACAAAATTGTAGATAGGAAAGTTAAGGGGGAAAAAGGGGAATTTCTAGAAAGAAGGTATAAAAAGAAGGAAGAGAAAAGGAAAAAAGTGTATTAGAATTAGAATAAGCTTGAGTCTATCCGCCGTCTTAGCGTCTTCCACTGGATTTAGTATTTAGTTGATAAGTACAAAATTCCATGCGTTCGCAGGGCTCTGTACAACCGCAAGAGACTACCGTATATACTCGAGTATAAGCCAACCCGAATATAAGCCGAGGCACCTAATTTTACCACAAAAAACTGGGAAAACTTATAGAATCGAGTATAAGCCGAGGGTGGGAAATGGAGGAGTTACTGGTAAATTTCAAAATAAAAATAGATATCAATAAAATTGCAGTAATTGAGGCATCAGTAGGTTAAATGTTTTTGAGTATTTACATAAAACGTATTTACATAAGATAAAGACTGTCCAGCTCTGATTAAATCATTATTCTAATCTTCAGTGTAAATGTGCTTCTGTATCCTTCCAATAATAATAAAGATAGTAAAATAATAATAATAATGAAATCCAGCTTATTTATTTATTTATTTACAGCTTTTATATTCCGCCCTTCTCACCCCGCAGGGGACTCAGGGCGGATTACAGTGTACACATATATGGCAAATATTCAATGCCAATTTTTGACATACAACATATACAGACACACACAGAGGCTATTTAACTTTTTCTGGCCGCCAGGGGAGCTGTCGCTTTCATCGTTCATCTGCGACACTGATGAAGCACTTCCGCATTCCCCGCATGCTTCCCCACTGGAATGCTTTGCTGGAGTCTTCTTTATGGCCTCATAAATCAGTTAATTTAGCCCCCCCCCCCTTAAAGTGGTACCTTATTTTCCTACTTGACAGATGCAACTGTCTTTCGGGTTGCAAAGGTCGACAACAGGCTACACACATTGGTTGGAAACCCACTCCAACCCGGGCTGGCTTCGAACTCATGACCTTTTGGTCAGAGTGATCTTAATGCAGCTGACACTCAGCCAGCTGCGCCACAATCCCGGCGCTCGTTTGCTTTGTCGTACTGTGTTTTTGTGTTAGGTTAATAATAATAATAATAATAATAATAATAATAATAATGGAAAATAATGGAAATGTAATAACAGTGATAACAGAGTAAAATTATACATACAGTAGCAATAAAAATAAAGTAAAATAATAAATGTAACAAATAATAATAGAGTAAAGTAATGTAAATAGCACCGGGATTGTGGCGCAGCTGGCTGAGTGTCAGCTGCATTAAGATCGCTCTGACCAAAAGGTCATGAGTTCGAAGCCAGCCCGGGTTGGAGTGGGTTTCCAACCAATTGTGAGGCCATAAAAAAGACTCCAGCAAAGCACTCCAGCAAAAAAGCATGCAGGGAATGCGGAAGTACTTCATCAGTGTCGCAGATGGACGATGAAAGCGACAGCTCCCCTGGCGGCCAGAAAAAGTTAAATAGCCTCTGTGTATGTCTGTATATGTTGTATGTCAAAATTGGCATTGAATGTTTGCCATATATGTGTACACTGTAATTCGCCCTGAGTCCCCTGCGGGGTGAGAAGGGCGGAATATAAAAGCTGTAAATAAATAAATAATATAATGTAATATAATATAATATAATATATTAAAATAATTCATGTAATAAAATGATACTAATAACAAAGTAAAATAATAAATAACCTTGACTCAAGTATAAGCCGAGGGGAACTTTTTCAGCCTTAAAAGGGGGCTGAAAAACCATTTATTTATTTATTTATTTCGGTTGCTTCTACCCCGCCCTTCTCACCCCGGGGGGGACTCAGGGAGGCTTACACAAGCGAGGCACAATTCGATGCCCGCATCACATACAGCAAAAGACAACATCATTTAACAACAACAATTCTATCAATAACAGCAATTACCATAAAGACAATAATTATAATAGGTAAAAACAACCATAAAAGCAATAAAAAATCTATACAAACCTCCTTGATGGTCAGCGTTTCACAGTCTCATAGTTTAAATTCCAATTCCATAATTCTCAGTCCTTTTAGTCCTATTCATCTGTTTTCCATATCTAATTGTCAGGTTGCCCAAAGGCCTGGTCCCACAACCACGTCTTTACCTTCCTCCTGAAGGTGGGGAGGGATGTTGACGCTCTAATTTCCCCTGGGAGTGAGTTCCACAGGTGAGGGGCCACTACCGAGAAGGCCCTGCTCCTCGTCCCCACCAGCCTCGCTTGTGATAACGGTGGAGTCGAGAGCAGGGCCTCCCCGGATGATCTCAAATTCCGGGGTGGGACATAGAGGGAGATACGTTCGGACAGATACACTGGACCGGAACCATAAAGGGTTTTGTAGGTCAAAACTAGCACCTTGAATTGTGCTCGGAATTGAACCGGCAGCCAGTGGAGCTGACACAGCAGGGGGTGGTATGTTCCCTGTATGTTGCCCCGGTGAGCAGTCTGGCTGCCGCTCGCTGGACCAATTGAAGTTTCCGAACAGTCTTCAAGGGCAACCCCACGTAGAGTGCGTTGCAGTAGTCTAAACGGGATGTAACAAGAGCGTGGACCACTAGGCTTATACTCGAGTATATACCGTAATTTTGACTTCAGCTGTGAAGGACAGATTGTCCTGTGGGTTGCTTTCATAGTTGATGCGCTTCTCTTCTCTGTGGTGGGCGAGAGAGGTCTTCTCCGTCGCATTGGAGCTTTTTGATTTACCAAATGTCTCTTCTCTTAACCAGGTACAGTACCGAACTCTCAGATGACCGCCGTTTAGCTGAACTCTCTGATTTCCGCCATTTAGCGGACTCCCCCCATGCGTACCGCCACTCGCCGACAAAGTCTCATCTGGATTATCGCCGCCTCCCAGAAATGCAATCCGATTATGCCCGTTACGCGGGGGCCTATGGCGATTATTTGCGCAGCGCACAGCTGCAGATGCATGCTAGTTACCAGCGCCGCTTGTAGAGGATTTTCCCCCGTCTCCCGCGTCATTCCCTTGGCGTCTGTCGTCTTAACACCATTTGACTCACCCCAGCACCTGCGTCTGCAAGGAGCGGTCCTTGCCGTTTGATTTCAGGACACCCTTTCAGTCCCGGGCGCCCACCGCAACTGGCCATCATAACCCATGTATTTTTATTATTATTATAATTTGTTCTTACTGTCTTTTACTCTGCCAAGCAAAGGGTACGTCGTTTCCTTTAGTGAGCCATATGCGACCCTCACTGACAGCTAGGAAAACCCGTGTAGGTTTCCATCTTTAATTTCATTTCAGCCTCAGGAGCGCACTGTACATTGCTGCACATTCAGCCTTTTTTCAAACCAAAGTCCTAATGGCCGTGGGGAGAACAATATTTCCCCCAGTTTCTTCGGTCTTATCTATTCCTTGATTGAAACCTTCGTTTCCATGGTCTTCGAAAGGGGTTTATTCTCGTCTGTTTTCCAAATCGGTTCAGTTGCTTTTATGTAACCTCGCCCTTCATTGATTTATACCAATATAGAGTGTGTGAGGAAGCCTACCGTTAGAAGTAAAGCTTAGGTTTCCTTTTTTTTTTTTTGTATTAATTGTAAATAAAACAGCTGATTGGAATTTTAGAAAAAAAAATAGTTGTCTGATGGTTTCGGTAGCGATGGTGGTGGTGGTGTGTGTGTTATTGCCCCTTTAGTTTTTATTTATTTATTTATTTATTTATTTATTTCGGTTACTTCTACCCCGCCTTCTCACCCCGGAGGGGACTCAGGGTGGCTTACAAAGGCACAATTCGATGCCGGCATCAACATAACAGTAGAATAAAAACAATATAGCAGCAATTAAACAATTAACAATTAGTTTCTGCATTACAACAATAAAACCAATAAAATTGATTTCACCTAATTAACGCTCAGCGTTCGCCATCTCATAGTCCAATTTCCAATTCCACTTTGTCAGTCCTGTCAGTCCTAGTCGTCTGATTGTCCTTATCTAGTTGTCAGATTGCCCAAAGGCCTGGTCCCACAACCCCGTTTTTACTTTCCTCCTGAAGGAGAGGAGGGATGTTGATGACCTAATTTCCCCGGGAGTGAGTTCCACAGGTGAGGGGCCACCACTGAGAAGGCCCTGCTCCTCGTCCCCACCAACCTCACTTGTGATAGCGGTGGGGTCAAGAGCAGGGCCTCCCCAGATGATCTCAAACTCCGGGGTGGGACGTAGAGGGAGATGCGTTCGGACAGATACGCTGGACCGGAACCATATAGGGTTTTGTAGGTCAAAACCAGCACCTTGAATTGAACCGGCAGCCAGTGGAGCTGACACAGCAGGGGGGTGGTATGCTCCCTGTATGATGCTCCGGTGAGCAATCTGGCTGCCGCTCGCTGGACCAGTTGAAGTTTCCGAACAGTCTTCAAGGGCAACCCCACGTAGAGTGCGTTGCAGTAATCTATTCGGGATGTAACAAGAGCGTGGACCACTGTGGCCAGATCAGACTTCCCAAGGTACGGGCGCAACTGGTGCACAAGTTTTTACTTGTGATTGAGACACATTTTTTCCCAATCTTATGACCTTCCGGGCATTTTTGGGTTGCAGCTTTCGTCATCCCATATTGTTTGTTTCTTTATTTATTTATTTACCGCTTTTATATTCCACCCTTCTCACCCCTCAGGGGACTCGGGGCGGATTACAGTGTACACATATATGGCAAACATTCAATGCCAATTTTTGACATACAAACATATACAGACATACACAGAGGCTATTTAACTTTTTCTGGCCGCCAGGGGAGCTGTCGCTTTCATCGTCCATCTGCGATGCAGATGAAGCACTTCCGCATTCCCCGCATGCTTCCCCGCTGGAATGCTTTGCTGGAGTCTTCTTTATGGCCTCATAAATCAGTTAATGTAGCCTCCCCACACTTTAAGGTGGTACCTAATTTTCCTACTTGACAGATGCAAAGGTCGACAACAGGCTACACACAATTGGTTGGAAACCCTTTTGGTCAGAGTGATCTTAATGCAGCTGACACTCAGCCAGCTGCGCCACAATCCTGGTGCTATCAGTATTGTTGGCTGATAGAAGTTGCTCCCGGACATCTGAAAGAGCTTACTTTGGTGGAGGATAATAATAATAACAACAATAACAACACTTTATTTATATTCCACTCTATCTGCCCAAGGAGACTCAGGGCACATCACAGTACACATACATGGCAAACATTCAGTGCCGTTTTGGATAGGCAGAACAAACACAGACAGACAAAAAGGAGATATGTTGTGTCAGTGTCCAGCCTTTTGGCGCCTGTAAGGTTGGGCTTGAATCCAGGCACAGGGGGGTGGTGTTGCTTCATCAGGACTTACTCATTCCTTTTGGTCGCCGGGCATTTTCTGAACTTTTTCTTTATGGCGTCATAAAATACCTCCCCCACTTGTTTTAGCGGTACCTAATTTCTCTAATTACAGCTCAAGCTGTTTTGGAACTGCTTAGGTCAACAGTAAGCTGGGCTGACCGTCGACACCTCATGCCGACCCGGGGCTTCGAAGTGGTAACCTTTTGTTTGGTAGGTCTTATCATTGCTGGTGATTTACCAGCTGTGCTAAAGACCCAGAAATAGGATAGCTTAATTAAATTCAGATCTCCACTGAAGTAGACTCGAAAGGGTTGGTGCGATGAGTGTAGACTACCGTTGTCCAGGAAATTTGTTTTCAGCTTTATTCAGTTTTTCATTTTTCACAGGGGCATCAAGCCTCTAACCCAGTGGTTCTCAACCTGGTAAACCGGCTGGGATTTCTGGTAAACTGGCTGGGATTTCTGGGAGTTGTAGGCCAAAACACATGGGGACCCATAGGTTGAGAACCACTGCCCTAACCTCATCAAATGGAGGGCTGGCTGTCGGTAGACCTTTGCCAGTGAGACCTCAGCATCAATGCTGTATCCTTGGCTTGTGTCTATGTTACCTTCGTTTGATAATATTCATGTATAATAAAAATTATTTTTGACCACTCTCTCTGAAGAGACACGCAAAACGACAAGCATTCAATGCCTCAGGTGAATACAAGGTAAGGTAAAGGTGAAGGTTTCCCCTGACATTAAGTCTAGTTGTGTGATGCTCATCTCCATTTCGAGGCCAAAGAGCCAGCGTTGTCCACAAACACCTCCAAGGTCATGTGGCCAGCATGACTGCATGGCGTGCCATTGCCTTCCTGCTTTTTTTGTGTGTCGGGAGCGACCTGAGAAACTGCAAGTCGCTTCTGGTGTGAGAATTGGCGTTGCCCAGGGGACGCCCAGATGATTTGATGTTTTTATCATCCTTGTGGGAGGCTTCTCTCATTTCCCCGCATGAGGAGCTGGAGCTGGTAGAGGGAGCTCATCCGCCTCTCCCCGGATTCGAACCTGCGACCTGTCGGTCTTCAGTCGTGCCGGCACAGTGGTTTAACCCACTGCGCCACCGAGGGTGCCTTCCTGCTGAAGCGATACCTATTGATCTACTCAATAGGTTGGGAGAAGCTGGGCCTAACAGTGGGAGCTCGCCCTGCTCCCCGGATTCGAACCGCCTACCTTTCAGTCAGCAGCTCAGCAGTTTAACCTGCCGTGCCACCAAGGGGGGCAACAGTGAATACAAATGTATTGAAATAACACAGACTAAATCAACAGTAACAATGGTGTGCTTACAACGAAGAATTAAGAATTGTGATAAAAATAAAACAACCCAATAAGACGTAGTAAACATTACAACAAATACCCTAAAAGCAATTTAAAATACAGTTACCTTAAAAATGGCTGGCGCCGATGTTTATTTGAAACGTATCGTGGCGGCTATAATAATACAAGAGGGACTAGTAGCCAGCTTTCCAAGTAGTTAAAGTGTCTTAGTCCTCTCAATATGCTAAAGTGCATGGGTGCATTTTTATAAGTTTCTTAAAGGAGAGGGTGTGGGGGCCAATTCTACTTTTGTAGGGAGGGAGTTCCAGAGACAGCAAGCGGTCATGGAAAAGGTCCCCTCTCTCATTCCCACCAAACGAACTTGTGTCGGAGGTGGGACCGAGAGGAAGGCCTCCTCCGTTGACCACTGTGCACAGGATGGTTTGCATAGGGCAGTGGTTCTCAACCTTCCTAATACCGCGACCCCTTAATACGGTTCCTCATGTTGTGGTGACCCCCAACCATAACCCTAACATTATGAGTTGCCATGTAAATAATGATCTGCAGGATGTATTTTCATTCACTAGAGCAAATTTGGCACAAATACCCTGTATGCCCAAATTTGAATACTGCTGGAGTTGGCGAGGGGATTGATTTTGTCATTTGGGAGTTGTAGTTGCTGGGATTTATAGTTAACATGTAAACAAAGAGAATTCTGAACCCCACCAACAATGGAATTGAACCAAAATTGGCACAGAGAACTCCCATGATCAACAGAAAATACTGGAAGGGTTTGGTGGGCATTGACCTTGAGTTTGGGAGTTGTAGTTTGCGTACATCCAGTGAGCACTGTGGACTCAAACAATGATGGATCTGGACCAAACTTGGCATGGATACTCAATATGCCCAAATGTGAACATTGATGGGGTTTGGGGAAAATAGACTTTGACATTTGGGAGTTGTAGATACTGGGATTTATAGTTCACCTACAATCAAGGAGCGTTCTGAACCCCACCAATGATAGAATTGGGCCAAACTTCCCACACAGAACCCCCATGACCAACCCCCATGACTGTGCTTTCTGATGGTCTTCGGCGACCCCTCTGACACCCCTTTGCGACCCCCTGGTTGAGAAACACTGGCATAGGGAGATGCGATTATACAAATACCCTGGACCCGAACCGTTTAGGGCTTTATAGGTAACAACCAGCACTTTGTATTTAGCTCGGAAATGGACTGTCAGCCAGCATGAGAGTTGTCCTCACGATATGGCACTCCAGTTAGCAGTCTAGCCGCCGATCTCTGCACTAATCGCTTCTGAACTATCCTCAAAGGAAGCCCAATGTAGAGAGCATTGCAGTAGTCCAAACAGGATGTGACTAAAGGCATGGTCTACCATGGCCAAGTCTGGCGTCTCAAGTTTTACCTCCGAAGGTGCACCTGGGGTTCCAGGGTCCCCAATGTGCACAGGATCTGCAGACCTGTGTCTTCAGGGGGAGTGCGACCCCCTCATCCTGATCCGCCTTACGACTGACCAGGAGTACCTCTGTCTTGTCTGGATTTGGTTTCAGCTTGTTGGCCCTCATCCAGTCCATTCCTGATGATATATTTCCTTTGTATCCCACCTTTCCTCCAAGGATCTCATTGCAACATGCAAAATGTATTGAGGTGGGTTGAGAGAGAGTGGAGGGAGCATTTAAACCAAGGTTCGGTTCAGAGCGGGCTAGAGACATGTACCCTGGCTGTAACCGCCAAAACCCCCAGGACACAAAATGGGGTGGGGCTGTGTAACCGTGGCAACTTTATTCTTCAACTCGAATGTCAGATGGGCTAAAGATGTGGAGGGGTGAACCAGTGCGGACTCTCAAGATATCGGCTCCCTGGAGAGGGTTGTAGCACTTTTGCCGTCTTTACTGGGGTAATACAAATATATTATATACACACATGCTCCCTCTCTATCTTGTGTGTGAGTGTAATCATGCCATCCCCCCCCCCCCCAACACACGCATACAAATATAATATTTTTATATATATCCTTGGATAATGTGTGTGCATTCCCATCGTGGTCAACTGTGAATACGCACATATGGTAGGCYCWGAAACTACCATATGTGCGAATTCACAGGTGACCACTCAGGAAACTACGGTTACAGGTAAGCAACCTCTCTCTCTCTCTCTCTCTCTCTCTCTCTCTCTCTCTATATATATATATATATATATATATATATATATAAAATGTGTGTGTATAAAAGGTAAAGGTTTTCCCCTGACATTAAGTCCAGTTGTGTCCTACTCTGGAGTACTCTGAAGGTTGGTGCTCATCTCAGTTTCCAAGCTGAAGAGCCGGCATTGTCCATAGACACCTCCAGGGTACCAATTGATCTACTTACATTTGCATATTTTCAAGCTGCTAGGTTGGCAGAAGCTGGGGCTAACAGTGGGAGCTCACCCCGCTGGCCATCCAGCTTTACATCCATGTGGCCATGATTTGGGGGAGTTGTAGTTCACCTACATCCAGAGATCACTGTGAACCCAAACACCGATGGATCTGGGCCATATCTGATATACCAAAATTTGATTACTGGAAGGGTTTGGGTGGAACTGACCTTCCTTTGTGGGAGTTGTAGCTTACCCTACAGCAAGAGAACACATTGAACCCCGCTTATGATGCATCTAGAGTGCTGTTACCTTCCTACCAAGGCAGTACCTATTGATCTACTCACATTTGCATGTTTTCGGAATGCTAGGTTGGCAGAAGCTGGACCTCACAGCGGAAGCTCACCCCGCTCCCTAGAGTCAAACCACCAACCTTTTGGTCACCAAGTTGAGCAGCTCAGTGTTTTAATGTTCTGCACCCATATGTGTGTATATATACATATATAGTATGATGATGCAGCAGGCGTCCTTCAAAGCCTCCAGGAACTATCCACAGAGAGGCCTGACTGATTGATTCCACGTTGAGCCAACAATGTGATGCGCCGGCAAAAAAAAGCCAATGGGATTTTGGCCTGCATCAGTAGGAGTCTAATGTCTAGATCCAGGGAAGTCATGCTCCCCATGCTCTATTCTGCCTTGGTTAGACCACACCTGGAATATTGTGTCCAGTTCTGGACACCACAATTGAAGAGAGATATTAACAAGCTGGAATGTGTCCAGAGGGGGGCGACTGAAATGATCCAGGGTCTGGAGAACAAGCCCTATGAGGAGCGGCTTAAAGAGCTGGGCATGTTTAGCCTGAGGAAGAGAAGGGGACATGATGAGGGCAATGTATAAATACGTGAGAGGAAGTCATAGGGAGGAGGGAGCAACTTGGAGACTAGGACGCAATGGAGGCTTTGAATGCAATTTTCCTGCTTCTTGGCAGAATGGGGTTGGACTGGATGGCCCAGGAGGTCTCTTCCAACTCTAGGATTCTATGATTTGAGAAATAGTTGAGGCCCAGGACACTGCAAGAGACTCAAAAGTTTAGGAAAAGAGATGCCGTCAGCAGAGGCTGGATGGCCATTTGTCGGGAGGGTTTTGATGGTGACATCCCACCTGCCAGAAGGGGATGGGAGTCATACAGGATGGTCTTATCAGCAATGACAACAAACCAAGTTACTTCCTTCCCTCTTCTTTGTTGCTTTGCCTTTTTCCCCATTTTCCTGCAATGTGATTGACCAATACGCCTGCCAGTTGTCTCGACTGTCTGGCCAACTGCAATTCCTTCCTTGCAAGTCATATCACTCCCTTATTTGCAGCCTCTTTTTAAGATCTCTGGGAAATGAACATGTTTCAGTATCTTATAACACAAAACAAACTAAAATGGGCTGTTTCCAAGGAAATCAGAAAGTTGTGTACACGACTAGAGGTGGAAAAGACCCCAAAGGCCATCCAGTCCAACCTCTTGACATGCTTTGTCACTTTCCAGCATTTTGATGATTTTTTTTCCCTTCCTTGACTTTGCCACATTATTTTCTTTGGTTTTACTGTCCTGGTTCTCTTTGTAACATTCTAATGGAAACCGTGCTCTTGAACTATTTTTGTCAATAAAAATAAAATGACAATAATGACAATGGTTTTGAAGTTTGTTTATTATTCTTTTTTATTATTATTATTATTATTATTATTATTTTGTGGTGTCAGAAGTCGCTTCTGGTGTGAGAGAATTGACCGTCTGCAAGGACATTGCCCAGGGGACGTCTGGATGATTTTGATGTTTTTTCATCCTTGTGGGAGGCTTCTCTCATGTCCCTGCATGAGGAGCTGGAGCTGATAGAGGTAGCTCATCCGCCTCGCTCCGGATTCGAACCTGCGACCTGTCAGTCTTGAGTCCTGCCGGCACAGGGGTTTAACCCACTGCGCCGCCGGGGGCTCCTTATTCTATATTACGATATTCTATATATTATTTATAATATATTAAAATGCAAATATAATTTATTATATATATCATAATATGGATGGATGGATGGATGGCATCCTTGAAGTGACTGGACTGACCTTGAAGGAGCTGGGGGTGGTGACGGCCGACAGGGAGCTCTGGCGTGGACTGGTCCGTGAGGTCACGAAGAGTCAGAGACAACTGAACGAGTGAACAACAATCATAATATCAATACAGTATACATTTTATATGTATTTATACCAGATATGATATGGTATGATATATATTTATACCATATATGATATAGATTATTAGAATTTATAATATAATAGACATGTTTTATTTATAATATTATACATTTAGACCTTGAAGGAGCTGGAGGTGGTGACGACCGACAGGGAGCTCTGGCGTGGGCTAGTCCATGAAGTCACGAAGAGTCGGAAACGACTGAACAAATGAACAACAAATTATACATTATATATATATATATGTGTGTGTGTGTGTGTGTGTGTGTGTGTGTGTGTGTATATATATATCGTGTCAGGAGTGACTCTGGTGTGAGAGAATTGGCCGTCTGCAAGGACGTTGCCCAGGGGACACCCAGATGATTTGATGTTTTTATCATCCTTGTGGGAGGCTTCTCTCATGTCCCCGCATGAGGAGCTGGAGCTGATAGAGGGAGCTCATCCGCCTCTCTCCAGATTGTCGGTCTTCAGTCCTGCCGGCACAGGGGTTTAACCCACTGCGCCACCGGGGGCTCATACATTTAATATAATATTAATAGAATGTACTTATATTCATTGAAGGAGCTGGGGGTGGTGATGGCCGACAGGGAGCTCTGGCGTGGGCTGGTCCATGAGGTCACGAAGAGTCGGAGACAACTGAATGAATGAACAACAAACTTATATACAGTATATATTTTATATGTATATTATATATGATATAAATTATTAGAAATTATAATATAATAGACATATTATATGTGTGTGTGTGTGTGTAATTTATTTATAATATATAAAATAATAATAATAATAATAATAACACTTTATTTATACCCCGCTACCATCTCCCCAAGGGACTCGGTGCGGCTTACATGAGGCCGAGCCCAAACACAACAATACAAGCAATAATAACAATAAAAAGGTAAAGGTAGTCCCCTGACATTAAGTCCAGTCATGTCTGACTCTGGGGTGTGGTGCTCATCTCCATTTCTAAGCCGAAGAGCCAGCGTTGTCCATAGACACCTCCAAGGTCATGTGGCCGGCATGACTGCATGGAGCGCCGTTACCTTCCCGCCGGAGCGGTACCTATTGATCTACTCATATTTGCATGTTTTCGAACTGCTAGGTTGGCGGAAGCTAGGGCTGACAGCGGAAGCTCACGCCGCTCCCCGGAATCGAACCTGCGACCTTTCGATCAACAAGCTCAGCAGCTCAGTGCTTTAACCCACTGCGCCACCGGGCACATTTCATCAGTTGGTCCCAAACTTGGCTCCAGGAACTGCGGAACTCTCCGCTGCGGTTCACACCAATTTGAAGGCGGGAGCCTCCGCCGCTCTCGGGGTCAATGGGGCTGATTTAGAGGATAGGAACGAAATTCACGCGGAACCTTTATGTTCGCGGTGAGGTTTCCGGTGGGAACGATTAAGGAGTCGCACCTACCTCCACATAAAAAAGCCTTGCCCGGTAATGAGGTGACGACAGCGGAAGAGGCGTGGCTAGAGTCGGAAGCGAGTGGTCCAGCCTGGGCGAAACATCATGGCGCTCAACGCGGCGGGTAAGTGAGAGGGAGAGAGGAGTAACCATGGCAACGGGGCCTACTCCGGCCTGGCGAGCCAGCTTGGAAGGGATTGGGAGGCCGCTGAGGCTGGGAGGCCCACGAACCATGGCTTCTCCCACAGGCAACGACGACGCGGAGTGGGAGCCGCCCTCGGAAGCGGAGCTGAAGGTGATCCAGGCCCGGCGGGAGCGGCAGGACAAGATCAGCAAGCTGATGGGCGACTACCTCCTGAAGGGCTACCGCATGCTGGGCGAGTGCTGCGAGGAGTGCGGGGTGAGAGCCGCACACAGGGCATGGTGCTCCTCTGAGGATACAAAGAGGGCCTTGCTTTGGCTGCAAAGGGAGCCTTTGAGCATGTAAAGAGTGCTAGGCCCTTTCAAATGTGGGCCTCTGAGCATGTCAAGAGTGACAAGTATTCCTGCTGCAAAAGGGGCCTCTGAGCATGTCCAGAGTGCCAAGCCCTCTTGCTGCAAAAGTGGCCTCTGAGCATGTAAGAAGTTCCATGACATTGTGCTCCAAATGTGGGCCTCTGAGCATGTAAAGAGTGACAAGTATTCCTGCTGCAAAAAGGGCCTCTGAGCATCTCCAGAGAACTAAGCCTTCTATGTTCTATGACATTTTGCTCCAAATGTGGGCCTCTGAGCATGTAAAGAGTGCCGACTTTTGCTGCAAAGAGGGCCTCTGAGCATGTCCAGAGTGCCAGGCCTTCTTGCTGCAAAAGTAGCCCCTGAGCATGTAAGATGTTCCACAATCTTTTGCTCCAAATATGGGCCTCTGAGCATGTCCAGATTGCCAGGCCTTCTTGCTCCAAATGTGGCCCCTGAGCATGTAAGAAGTTCAACAATCTTTTGCTCTAAATGTGAGCCTCTGAGCATGTAAAGAGTGCCAGGCCCTTTTGCTCCAAATGTGGCCCCTGAGCATGTAAGAAGTTCAACAATCTTTGGTCTAAATGTGAGCTTCTGAGCATGTAAAGAGTGCCAGGCCCTTTTGCTCCAAATGTGGCCCCTGAGCATGTAAGAAGTTCAACAATCTTTTGCTCTAAATGTGAGCCTCTGAGCATGTAAAGAGTGCCAGGCCCTTTTGCTCCAAATGTAGCCCCTGAGCATGTAAGAAGTTCAACAATCTTTTGCTCCAAATGTGGGCCTCTGAGCATGTCCAGAGTGCCAGATCCTCTTGCTGCAAAAGGGGCCTCTGAGCATGTAAGAAGTTCCATGACATTTTGCTCCAAATGTGGGCCTCTGAGCATGTAAAGAGTGACAAGTATTCCTGCTGCAAAACGGGCCTCTGAGCATCTCCAGAGAACTAAGCCTTCTATGTTCTATGACATTTTGCTCCTAATGTGGGCCTCTGAGCATGTAAAGAGTGCCATGCTTTTGCTGCAAAGGGAGCCTTTGACATATAAAGAGTGCCAAGCCCTTTCAAATGTGGGCCTCTGAGCATGTAAAGAGTGACAAGTCCTCCTGCTGCAAAAAGGGCCTCTGAGCATGTCCAGAGTGCCAGGCCTTCTTGCTGCAAAAAAGGCCTCTGAGCATGTAAAAAGTTCCATGACATTGTGCTCCAAATGTGGGTCTCTGAGCATGTAAAGAGTGACATGTATTCCTGCTGCAAAAATGGCCTCTGAGCATGTCCAGAGTGCCAGGCCTTCTTGCTGCAAAAGTGGCCTCTGAGCTTGTAAGAAGTTCAGCAATCTTTTGCTCCCAATGTGGGCCTCTGAGCATGTAAAGAGTGCTGAGCCCTTTCCCACAAACGTGTCCTATCCGGATGTAAAGAGTTCCATGCTGAACTTTTGAGCTTTTGCTGAAGAAGGTGCCTTTGAGCATGTCCAGAATGCCAGGCCCTCTTGATGCAAAAGGGGTCTCTGAGCATGTAAAAAGTTCCATGACATTTTGCTCCAAATGTGGGCCTCTGAACATGTAAAGAGTGCTGAGCCCTTTTACTGCAAACATGTCCTATGAGGATGTCAAGACAGAGTGGCAGCCCCATTTGTAGCAAAGGGTCCTCTGAGCATGTAAAGAGTGCCATGAGCTTTTGCTGCAAAAGGATCCTTTGAGCATGTCCAGAGTACCAGAGTTTTGCTGCAAAGGGGGCCTCTGAGAATACAAAGAGTGCCATGCTCTGTTGCTGCAAAGGGAGCCTTTGAGCATGTCCAGAGTGCCAGAGTTTTGCTGCAAAGGGGGCCTCTGAGCATGGAAAGAGTACCATGAGCTTTTGCTGAAAAAGGAGCCTTTGAGCATGTCCAGAGTGCCAGAGTTTTGCTGCAAAGAGGGCCTCTGAGCATGTAAAGAGTACCATGAGCTTTTGCTGAAAAAGGAGCCTTTGAGCATGTCCAGAGTGCCAGACTTTTGCTGCAAAGAGGGCCTCTGAGCATGTAAAGAGTGCCAGACCTCACAGCCTCTCAGGATGTTGTACTATACCAATATAATAATAATGATAATGATAATAATAATAATAATAATTTTATTTATACCCTGCTATTGTAATATTAGTAGTAATATTGCATGTAATATAAAATATATAATTATAATACTGTATTATTATTAGTTTTATATTGCATTACATTATATTACAGATGTTATATCTTTATACAATATATTATATTGTGTGTAAATAATTCCATGACTTTTTCTTGCAAAAGGGGCCTCTGAACATGTTAAGAGTGCCCGATCCATTTGGTACAAAGGGGGGGGGGGCTCTGAGCATGTCCAGAATGTTCTTTTACCCTCCCAAGGAAGTAAGGGCTTCTTGGCCTTTCCCCCTCTTTTCCATCCTGATTTTTGCAGGCATTGCGTTGTTTATTTTCCAGCTCTTACTCTTTCTTTCCTTTCCTCTCCTTTGCGACATTTTCCCTTCCAGACTATTTTGCTGCAAGACAAGCAGAAGAAACTCTACTGCGTCGCCTGCCAGGAACTCAACTCTGACGTCGACAAGGACAATCCGGGTGAGGCTCAAGAACTGGCTAGCATCTTCGTTAATTCATTATGTCTTCAGGATGGTCCTCTGTCAGGAGGGCTCGGCTGGTGTCTCCCTTCCCTTTTGGGAACCCTTCCAATTCTGTGATTTATCGATTTATTGTTTGCGTCTTTGGGGATGGCCATCTGTCAGGAGGGCTTGGCTGGTGTCTCCCTTCCAATTCTGTGATTTATTGATTTATTCTTTGCGTTTTTGGGGATGGGCATCTGTCGGGAGGGCTTGGCTGGTGTCTCCCTTCCAATACTGTGATTTATTGATTTATTCTTTGTGTCAGTGGGATGGCCATCTGTCAGGAGGGCTTGGCTGGTGTCTCCCTTCCAATTCTGTGATTTATTGATTTATTCTTTGTGTCTTTGGGGATGGCCATCTGTCGGGAGGGCTTGGCTGGTGCCTCCCTTCCAATTCTGTGATTTATTGATTAATTCTTTGTATGTATGTGTGTGTGTGTGTGTGTGTGTGTATCTTATATATTTTAATTGCTTGTATTGTTGTTATTATTGCTTGTATTGTTGTTTTTGGGCTTGGCCTCATGTAAGCTGCACCGAGTCCCTTGGGAGATGGTAGCGGGGTACAAATAAAGCTTTATTATTATTATTATTATTATTATTATTATATCTTGTAAGCCGCTCTGAGTCCCCCTCGGGCAGCACATAAATGTCGCAAATCAATAAATATTTGTATACCGCTTTTCTCAGCCTATCGGCGACTGAAGGCGGTTTACAACAAGTCAGTACACATAATAATAATAATAATAATAATAATAATAATAATAATAATAATAATCTTGTAAGCTGCTCGGAGTCCCCCTCGGGCAGCACATAAATGTCGCAAATAAATAAATATTTGTATACCGCTTTTCTCAGCCTATCGGCGACTGAAGGCGGTTTACAACAAGTCAGTACACATAATAATAATAATAATAATAATAATAATAATAATAATAATAATAAAAAATCTTGTGAGCTGCTCTGAGTCCCCCTCGGGCAGCACATAAATGTCGCAAATAAATAAATATTTGTATACCGCTTTTCTCAGCCTATCAGCGACTCAAGGCAGTTTACAACAAGTCAGTACACCCAATAATAATAATAATAATAATAATAATAATAATAATAATAATAATAATGTCTTGTAAGCTGCTCTGAGTCCCCCTCGGTCAGCACATAAATGTAGCAAATAAATAAATACTTGTATACCGCTTTTCTCAGCCTATTGGCGACTGAAGGCAGTTTACAACAAGTCAGTGCACATAATAATAATAATAATAATAATAATAATAATAATAATAATAATAATAATAATAATAATGTCTTGTAAGCTGCTCTGAGTCCCCCTCGGTCAGCACATAAATGTAGCAAATAAATAAATACTTGTATACCGCTTTTCTCAGCCTATCGGCGACTGAAGGCGGTTTACAACAAGTCAGTACACATAATAATAATAATAAATCTTGTAAGCTGCTCTGAGTCCCCTTCGGGCAGCACATAAATGTCGCAAATAAATAAATATTTGTATACCGCTTTTCTCAGCCTATCGGCGACTCAAGGCGGTTTACAACAAGTCAGTACACACAATAATAATAATACTAATAATACTAATAATAATAATAATACTTTATTTATACCCCACCACCATCTCCCCAAGGGGACTCGGGGTGGCTTACATGAGGCCAAGCCCAACAACACATCAGTAAACAACAAAGCAGCAAGCAAATAAAGCTTTATATGCTTGCTGTTTACTGTTTTGTTGTTTTGTTGTTTACTGATGTGTTGTTGGGCTTGGCCTCATGTAAGCTGCCCTGAGTCCCCTTAGGGAGATGGTGGCGGGGTATAAATGAAGTATTATTATTATTATTATTTGTACTGACTTGTTGTAAACCGCCTTGAGTCACCGATAGGCTGAGAAAAGCAGTGTACAAGTATTTATTTATTTGCGACATTTATATGCCGCTCAAAGGGGACTCAGAGCAGCTTACAAGATATATATATATATATATATATATATATATATATATAAAACACATACATACATGCATACAATACATTATACCATTAGCATAGTACAATATCAGTGCTATACATCACTTATATTGAACTATACAATTATATTGTAATATTATTAGCATAGCATAGTACAATATCAGTATTATATATTATTATTGAGAAAATTGAGATTATTTATTTATTTGTGACATTTTTATGCCGCCCTTTTCACCCCGAAGGGGACTCAGAGCGGCTTACATGATTATATATATATATATATATAATAAATAATAAATATATGTACAATACACACATACACACAATACATTGTACGATTAGCACAGTGCAATATCAGCTCTACACATCACTATATTGTACTATACAATTATATTGTAATATTATTAGTAATATTACATGTAATATAAAATATACAATTATCATATCATGTTATTAGTAGTATTATACTATATTGCATTATAATATTATACATATTATATGCATTTATATTATATTATATTATATTATCTATATAAATAAAAATGTAGGTCAGGGGTGTTCCTACTCTGGTGTATGACTCCGTGATTCTATGAATTGCTTGATTAATTGTGTCTTCAGGGTGGACATCTGTCGGGAAGGCTTTCCTGGTGTCTCCTTCCCCTTTTTGTGTCCCTCCTGACGCTTCTGCTTCTCTTTCCAGCCCTGAATGCCCAGGCTGCCCTGTCCCAGGTGCGGGAGCGCCAACTGGCCACCAACGCCGAGGACAACAACGTTTGCCCCGCCGTCGCATACCTGTCCGCACTTCCTGCGCACCCCGTGCGCCACGTCCCGCGCCCAGAGCACTGCGAAGGAGCTGCTGCAGGACTCCGGGCTTCGGCCCCTGCGCCGTTGCTGCTCCCAGGCCCGGCGGCAGCGGCAACGATGGCGGCGCCTTGTCCGGCGGCCCCACTCGGTGCGCTGACCCTGGCAGAGGAGGCCATCTTGCAGAAGATCGCCTGGGCGGGCCAGGAGCTGCGGCACAGCGCCTCCGTGGAGGCCAGCATCCAGCTCTGCGCCCTCATCCGTTCCTGCACAGAGTCCCTCAAGAGCCTCAAGGAGCTGCAGCAGTGAGCGCCCGAGCCCCGACTCTCCGCCCTTTCCAACAAGACTGCTCATCCTTCCCATTAAAATGTGTGCTTGTGGTTTCACTCGGAGTTTGCCTCGGTCCCGTCTGTTCAGTCCCTCTATTGTGTTGTCGGACAAAATCGCTGAATTTTCCAGGTTCCCAGAAGCATTCTCTCCTGACATTTTGCCCACATCTATGGCGGGCATCCTCAGAGGTTCTGAGGTTGTTATTTATTATTTATTTATTGCCTGAGCATGTAAGAAGTTCCACTGCCTTTTGCTGTAATTGTGGGCCTCTGAGCATGCAAAGAGTGCCAAGCCCTTTCCCTGCGAACGTCTCCTACGAGGATGTAAAGAGTTCCATACCTCTGTTTATGTCATTGAGTGCATCTTCAGGATGGCCATCTGTCAGGAGGTTTTGAGTGATGTCTCTCCTTTTGAGATCCCAACAATGATTGATTGATTGATTGATTGTCTCAGGAAGATTCACAAGGTCACATTCCTGGGAGGGGCTCTTCATCATCTTTGTAGGTCGTTGCAGAAGTCGGTGGGCCCCACTCTTTGCCATCACCCCTTCCAGGAATGTAAGACTTTGCCGATATTAGTGGGCCTCACTTTTTGCCATCGCCGTTTTAAGGCACTGCTGCGGAGTTTGTAAGACTTTGCAGACATTAGTGGGCCCCACTCTTTGCCATCGCCGTTTTAAGGCAAGCTGCCATTGCCCCTCCTTCTGCATTATAGTCTTATTCCAGAAATGGAATTTGCAGGTCTTTTAAGAAGTGGGTGGGCCCCACTCTTTGCCATCGCCCCTTTAAGGCACCCCTACCATTTCTGCGTTATGGCGTTTGTAGGACTTTGCAGACATTAGTGGGCCCCACTTTTTGCCATCGCCGTTTTAAGGCAGTGCTGCCATTGCTCCATCTACACTATAGTTTAATTCCAGGAATAGAGTTTGTAGGTCTTTGCAGAAGTTGTGGACCTCGCTCTTTGCCATCGCCCGTTTAAAGCACCCGTACCATTGCTCCTCTTTCTGCATTATAGTCTTATTCCAGGAATGTAAAACTTTGCAGACATTAGTGGGCCCCACTTTTTGCTATCGCCGTTTTAAGGCACTGCTGCCATTGCTCTTCCTTCTGCATAATAGTCTTATTCCAGGAATTGAGTTTGTAGGTCTTTGCAGAAGTTGGTGGGCCCCACTCATTGTCATCCCCGTTTTAAGGCACTGCTGCCATTTCTCCATCTGAATTTAGTCTTATTCCAGGAATGGAACTTGTTTTGAAGAAGTTGGTGGGCCCCACACTTTGCCATCGCCCCTTTAAGGCACCGCTGCCATTGCTCCATCTGCATTATAGTCTTATTCCAGGAATGGAACTTGTTTTGAAGAAGTTGGTGGGCCCCACTCTTTGCCATCGCCCCTTTAAGGCACCGCTGCCATTGCTCCTCCTGCAATATAGTCTTATTCCAGGAATTGAGTTTTTAAGACTCTGCAGGCGTTAGTGGACCCCACTCTTTGGCATCGCCGTTTTAAGGCACCATCGCCATTAATCTTTCTGCATTATAGTCTTATTCCAGGAATGGAGTTTGTAGGTCTTTGCAGGCGTTAGTGGGCCCCACAATTGGCCATCGCCGTTTTAAGACACCGCTTAAATGCCATTGCTCCTGCATTATAGTCTTATTCCAGGGATGCCATTGCCCCTTTAAGTCACCGCTCCCTTTGCTCCTTCTGCATTATAGTCTTATTCCAGGAATTGAGTTTTTAAGACTCTGCAGGCATTAGTGGGCCCCCCACTCTTTGGCATCGCCGTTTTAAGGCACCATCGCCATTAATCTTTCTGCATTATAGTCTTATTCCAAGAATGGAGTTTGCAAGACTTTGCAGGCGTTAGTGGGGCCCACTTTTTGCCATCGCCGTTTTAAGGCGCCTCCGCCATTGCTCCTCCTGGTGTTTCGGGCGGGGCTGCCGTGCGGCCAAGGGACCGGGCCCGGCGAACAAAGGCTGCGGCTCCCCCGGTTCTCCTCCCCGAAGGAGCCAGGCGAGTTGGGTCCCTTCGGGCGCTCCGGAGGCCCAGAGAGGAGGGAAGCCGGCCAAGGCAGAGGGCCCCCAGGCGGGCTGAGCAGAGCTGGAGTGCCCCTGAGCATAGGCAGAGGGCCCAGAGGAGAATTGAGCATAGCCAGGCTGTTTCTGAGCATAGGCAGAGTGCCAAAGGCAAACTGGGTATAGCCAGGCTGTTTCTGAGCATAAGCAGAGTGCCTCTGTCAATAGAAGTTGTCTCTGAGCATCAGTATTAATTAGTAATCAGTAATTAATTAGATTAATTAATTAGTAGAGACCTGAAGCAAAACTGGGCATAGTTGGATTGTTTCTGAGCCCAAGCAGAGTGGCCTCTGAGCATAGGCAGAGTGCTTCTGGCAATAGAAATTGCCTCTGAGCATAGGCAGAGTGCTCAGGGGGAAATTGGGCATAGCCAGGGTGTTTCTGAGCATAAGCAGAGTGCCCCTGAGCATAGGCAGAGTGACCAGAGGCAAATAGGGTGTGGACAGGCTGTTTCTGAGCATAAGCAGAGTGCCCAAAAGCAAACTGGGTATAGCCAGGCTGTTTCTGAGCATAGGCAGAGTGCCTCTGGGCATAGGCAGAGTGCTCCTGAGCATAGGCAGAGTGCCCAGAGCATAGGCAGAGTGCTCCTGAGCATAGGCAGAGTGCCCAGAGCATAGGCAGAGTGCTCCTGAGCATAGGCAGAGTGCCCAGAGCATAGGCAGAGTGCTCCTGGGCATAGGCAGAGTGCCTCTGGGCATAGGCAGAGTGCCCAAAAGCAAACTGGGTATAGCCAGGCTGTTTCTGAGCATAGACAGAGTGCCTCTGAGCATAGACAGAGTGACCAGAGGCGAATTTGGTGTAGCCAGGCTGTTTCTGAGCATAAGCAGAGTGCCCCTGAGCATAGACAGAGTGCCCCTGAGCCTAGGCAGGCTGACTAAAGGCAAACAGGGTATAGCCAAGCTGTTTCTGAGCATAATCAGAGTGCCTCTGCCAATAGAAGTTGTCTCTGAGCATCAGTATTAATTAGTAATTAGTAATTAATTACTTTAATTAAGTAAATAGTTTAATTAATTAATTACATTAATTAATTATTAATTAATTAGTAGAGACCTGAAGCAAAACTGGGCATAGTTGGATTGTTTCCAAGCCCAAGCAGAGTGACCAGAGGCCAATTGAGTGCCTCTGAGCGTAAGCAGAGTGCTTCGGACAATAGAAATGGCCTCTGAGCATAAGCAGAGTGGCCAGAGGCAAGTTGGGCATAGTTTCTGAGCATAAGCAGAGGGCCCCTGACAATAAAAATTGCCCCTGAGCATAAGCAGAGTGGCCAGAGGCAAGTTGGGCATAGCCAGGCTGTTTCTGCAGAGTGCCTCTGAGCATAGGTAGAGTGACCGGAGGCAGTGAGTGCATAGCCAGAACTAGGTGAGAATATTGAGGTTGCCTCTGACCATCAGCAGAGTGCCCCTGAGAGAAGGATATTGCCTCTGAGCATCGGCAGAGTGATCGTAAGCAGACTGAGCATAGCCAAGAGTGCTTCTGAGCATCAGCAGAGTGCAATGAAGATGAGAAATTGCCCCTGAGCACAGGCAGAGAGGCAAATTGGGCATACCCAGGCTGTCTCTGAGCATAAGCAGAGTGCTTCAGGCAATAGAAACTGCCTCTGAGCATAAGCAGAGTGGCCAGAGGCAAATTGAGCGCAGTCGGATTGTTCCCGAGCATAAACAGAGCGCCTCTGAGCATAGGCAGAGTGACCAGAGGCCAGTTGGATGTCTCTGAACATAGACAGAGTGGCCATAGGCAAATTGGACACAGTTTGATTGTTTCTGAGCATAGGCAGAGTGGCCAGGGGTCAATTGGGTGCCTCTGAGCATAAGCAGAGTGCACCTGACAATATAAATTGCCTCTGAGCATTTGACCAGAGGCAAATTGGGCACAATCAGATTGTTTCCGAGCTCATAAGCAGAGTGCCTCTGAGCATAGGCAGAGTGACCAGAGGCCAATTGGGCACTGGCAGATTGTTTCTGAGCATAGGCAGAGTGACCGGGGCCATTTGAGTGCCTCTGAGCATAAGTAGAGTGCATCTGATGATAGAAATTGCCTCTGAGCATAAGTAGAGTGTATCTGATAATAGAAATTGCCTCTGAGCATAAGTAGAGTGACCAGAGGCCAATTGGGCACTGGCAGATTGTTTCTGAGCATAAGCAGAGTGACCGGGGGGGCTATTTGAGTGCCTCTGAGCATAAGCAGAGTGCCTCTGAGCATAGGCAGAGTGACCAGAGACCAGTTGGGTGCCTCTGAGTGTAAGCAGAGTGCATCTGACAATAGAAATTGCCTCTGAGCATAGGCAGAGTGACCAGAGGCAAATTGGGCACAGGCAGATTGCTTCTGAGCATATGCAGAGTGCATCTGAGCATAGGCAGAGTGACCGGGGGCTATTTGAGTTCCTCTGAGCATAGGCAGAGTGACCAGAGGCCAGTTGGGTGCCTCTGAGTGTAAGCAGAGTGCATCTGACAATAGAAATTGCCTCTGAGCATAGGTAACGTGCCCAGAGGCAAATTGGGCACAGGCAGATAGTTTCTGAGCATAAACAGAGTGCACCTGACAATAGAAATTGCCTCTGAGCATTTGGCCAGAGGCCTATCGGGGACACCCAGAGTGTTTCCAAGCATAAGCAAGAGTGCCTCTGAGCCTGAGCAGAGTGCACTTGGCAACAGAAGGAGCTAGAGGCGGATTGGGCACAGTCGGATTGTTTCTGAGCATAAGCAGAGTGCCGGGCATGACGGGCCTCCCGTGGTGGCAGGAGGGGGCGGGCTGCCTGGTCCTGGAGGGCCTCCCCCCGCTGCCCCGCGGCCTGAGCGGCATCCTCAACTCCAGCGGGGGGTCCTGGCGCGAGATCCAGAAGGTCCACTCCAAGAAGACGCGCATCCAGGACGACCTCCGCAAAGCCTCCGCCGGTGCCTCCCCGGAGAAGTCCCCGCGCCGCAGCAAGCCCGCCAACCTGGACTCGGCCTTGGCCCTGCTCCGCAAGGAGATGGTGAGTCGGGAGGGACCCCAGAGCTCACCCAGTCTGACCCCCTTATACCTGGCAGGAGGACACCACCGAAGCTTTCCCGACAGATGGCCCTCCAGCCCACTGTAAACAAACTCTCACGGTCAGGAAGTTCTCCCTAATCCCATAGTTTCTGCACTAGAGAGCAACAGAGAGGCACGTCATAACATAGTTTAATATATATAGATAAATTATTATTATTATTATTATTATTATTATTATTATTATTATATATAAGCAAGTACACACAAATATGCGTATACACGCACATATACACATTCACACATACATACAAATATACACACAAATATGCATATAGGCAAGCACATATACACAATATACATGTACACATATAAACATACAAATATATACACATATATGCGCAAACAGACATATATACAAATATACACAAATACATGCACACATATAAACACACACACATATATATACACACAAGGACACACAAATATACGCACATACATATACACACATATATACGTATGCACATTCACACACAAATATACACACATATGCATATACATATGCACACATACACACATATATATATATGCAAGCACACACAAATATACATATATACACACAAAAACGGATATAGACAAGCACATGCATATACACAATATATATGTACACATATAAAACACAAATATACACACATGCACACACATATATACACTCACATATATATGTGCAAACACATAAACACCCACATATATATGCACAAACACACATAAACACATGAACAAATACATTCACACATATACACACATATATACACACATACATGTGTAAATATACATATACATATACACATATATACACACACAAGCACACACAAATATACACACAAACATATACATATGCACATTCACACACAAATATGCACACATATACATATACGCAAGCACACACAAATATACACACACATATATATGTACATATACACATACACACATACAGACATACATACAAATATACACACAAATACACATATAGACAAGCACATACACATACACAATATACATGTACACATATAAACAAATATATACACACATATACACACATATATACACCTATATATATATGCACAAACACATGTATATACACCCACTTATATATGCGCACACATATATACACATATGCGCAAATATATACACACATATAAACACATACATACACATATACACACATACATATGCATATGCACACATAAATATACGCATATATATATACACAGATGTACACAGACATATATATACACATGCACACAAATATACATATACATACATATATATATACACACAAATATGCATATAGACAAGCACATACATATGCACATATAAACACACAAATATATACCCACATATATATGTGCAAACACATATATATACTGATATACACATATATACACACACAAAACACATATACACAGCAACACATGGCAAGGGATGGCTAGTAATATAATAATAATATAATAATAATATGTGTGAAAGTCATAGCGTTGGAAGGGACCCCAAGAGGCCATCCAGTCCAGCCCTGGTGCACCATCGAAGCCCTCCTGACAGAGGGCCAGCCCTGACGCTCTCCCTTGGCCCTTGCAGGTGGGTCTGCGCCAGCTGGACATGTCCCTCTTGTGCCAGCTGTGGTCGCTCTACGAGTCCATCCAGGAGTCCAAGGGCCTCTTCCAGGAGCTCTCCTCCTCCTCGCTGCCTTCCGACGGGAGCCTGGCCGCCGAGAACGGATTCTCTGACGAGGACGACGAGGACGACTTGGAGGCCGACCCGGCTCCCGGCCCCCCCGAGGGCCACCGGGAGACCCCGCCGGAGCCCCGCCTCCGCCTCCCGCAGCCCCAGAACTCCCGGGACCAGTGGCTCCAGGACTCCTTCCACATCACCATCTGAGCCCCCCCCCCCCCCTCGTGGCCGACATCGGTTGCGGAACGGCCGGAAACTAACCTCGGTTCCTATTCACTTGCATGGTGGTTTGCACTAGACGACTGCGGCACTCTGAACACTGATCTGCTGGTTGGGTGATGATGGGAGTTGTAGTCCATAAAAATTGGGAAAACTTAAAGCCCGGGGATGATGGGAGTTGTTGTCCAAAAACTTGGGAGGAACTTATCATTCAAGAATGATGGGAGTTGTCATCCACAAACTTGGGAAAACTTTCCACCCAGGGATGATGGGAGATGTAGTCCACAAACTTGGGAGGAACTTATCATCCAAGAATGATGGGAGTTGTCATCCACAAACTTGGGAAAACTTTCCACCCAGGGATGATGGGAGTTCTAGTCCACAAACTTGGGAGGAACTTATCATCCAAGAATGATGGGAGTTGTCATCCACAAACTTGGGGAAACTTACCACCCAGGGATGATGGGAGTTGTCATCCACAAACTTGAGGAAACTTATCACCCAGGGATGATGGGAGTTGTAGTCCACAAACTTGGGAGGAACTTATCCAAGAGTGATGGGAGTTGTCATCCACAAACTTAAGAAAACTTATCACCCAGGAATGAGGGGAGTTGTCATCCAAAAACTTGGGGAAACCTACCACCCAGGGATGATGGGAGTTCTAGTCCACAAACTTGGGAGGAACTTATCATCCAAGAGTGATGGGAGTTGTCATCCACAAACTTGGGAAAACTTATCCAGGGATGATGGAAGTTGTCGTCCACAAACTTGGGAAAAATTCTCATCCAGGAATGATGGGAGCTGTAGTCCAAAAACTTGGGAAAACCTATCACCCAGGGATGATGGGAGTTGTCATCCACAATCTTGGGAAAACTTACTGCCCAGTGATGGTGGGAGTTGTAGTTTCCCAAGCACTTTCCCAAACTTGGGGAAACTTTCCACTCAATGGATGGTGGGAGTTGTAGTCACCCAACTTCCCCAAACTTGGGGGAAACTTACCACCCAAGAGATGATGGGAGTTGTAGTTCACACACTTTCCCTAACGTCACCCGATAGATGATGGGAGTTGTAGTCTGCAAACTTTCCCAAACTTGGGAAACTTACCACCCAATGGATGGTGGGAGTTGTTGTCTGTGAACTTTCCCAAACTTGGGGAAGACTTACCACCCAATGGATGCTGGGAATTGTAGTTCGCAAACTTTCAAATCTTGGTGTCTCTAAAACGTTGAATAGATGAATGCAGTTCGATCCCGCTGTAGATTTATGGGATTTGTAGTTTATGGAAACGCCTCCCCCACACTCAAGATGCTTATGAAACTACAACTCCCAAGGCAGATACTACTATATAGGAATTGTATAGGAAACTTGCTGCAACAAGACGCTTCCGTGCTAGGTTGTTCCAAGGCAAGAGTTGAGTTGGCCGGAGTCCTTGGTTCTTGTTCTTGGCGGCTCGGCCAAAACTAGATCTCTTTTTTAAAAAAATATGTAACATTTCAAAGGTCCTAAAATGCAAAGTGTTCTTTGGGGAGGAGGAAGGGGTCGGGTCTTCCTTCCCGTTGCAAAAGCGCGGGCGGCCCTTTTAATTTATTGTTTGGTGCTTTGGTCCTCATTGCGAGGAAACTAGAAATCCCAGGGAATAAAAGTGTCTCTGGAAACGAAAGATGTGCGGCTGCGTCTCTGCTCAACTTGCGAGGATATCGGCCTTGTTCAAGGGTTAGAGGCGGAAGGAAGAAAGGAAGGAGAAAATGCAGGAAGGAAAGAAATAAAGAAAAGGAAGGAAGGGAAGGGAAAAAGGAAGGAAGGATAGAAAAAGAGGAGAAAAGGAAGGATGGAAAAAAGAAAGGAAGGAAAGGAGAAATGGCAAGGAAGGAATGAAAGTAGGAAGAAAGGAAGGAGAGAAGGAACGAAGGAAGAAGAAAAGGAAGGAAGGCGGAAAGGAAGGACAAAATGCAGGAAGGAAGGAAAGAGAGAAGGAAGGAAGGAAGGACGGAAAGAGAAGAGAAGAGAAAAGGAAGGATGGAAAAAAGGAAGGAAGGAAAGCAGGAAGGAAAGCGGAAAGGAAGGAGAAAATGCAGGAAGGAAGGAAAGAGGAGAAAAAGAAGGAAGGAAGGAGAAAATGCAGGAAGGAAGGCGGAAAGGAAGGAGAAAAAGCAGGAAGGAAAGGAGAAAAGGAAGGAAGGAGAAAATGCAGAAAGGAAGGAAAGAGGAGAAAAGGAAGGAAGGAGAAAATGCAGGAAGGAAGGAAAGAGAGGAGAAAAGGAAAGAAGGAAGGAGAAAATGCAGGAAGGAAAGAAAGGAGAAAAGGAAGGAAGGAGAAAAGGGGGGAAAGGAAGGATGGAAAAAGAAAGCAAGGAAGAAGACATGAAGGAAGATATAGTCAATTCCCAAATGACAAGGAAGGAACAAAAGTAGGGGAAAAGCAAGGAAGGAAGGAAGGAAAGAAAGGAAGAAAAGAAGGAATGGTGGGAGGAAAGGAAGCAGGGAGACTGAAGGAAACGGGGAAGGAAAGAAGGGAAGGGAAAACAAGGAATGAAAGAAAGGAAGGAAGAAGAAAAGGAAGAGGAAAGGGAGAAAGGAAGGAGAAAAGGGAAGTAAAGATGGGGAAAAGGGGAAGAAAAAGGAAGGAGATGAGGAAGGAAAGAAGGGCAGGGGGAAAGGAAGGAAGGAAAAATGAAGGAAAGAAAGGAGAAAGGGAAAGAAGGAAGGAAGGAGAAAAGGAAGGACGGAATAAAGAGATGAAGAAATAAGGAAGGAAGGAAAAATGAAGGAAGATATAGTCAATTTCCAAATGGCAAAAAAGGAAAGTAGGAGAAAAAGAAGGAAGAAAAATAATGGCAAGAATCGATGGATGGATGGAAGAAGAGAGGAAGGAAGGAAGGAAGGAAGGAAGGAAGGAAGGAAGGAAGGAAGGAAGGAAGGAAGGAGAAATGGAGGAAGATATAGTCCATTTCCAAATGGCAAGGAAGGAAGACGAGAGGGAGGGGAAAAAAGGAAGGAAGGAGAAAAAAGAAAAAAAGAAGGAAGGTATAGTCCATTCCCAAATGGCAAGGATGGATGGATGGATGGATGGATGGATGGATGGATGGATGGAAGGAAGGAAGGAAGGAAGGAAGGAAGGAAGGAAGGAAGGAAGGAGAAAAGGAAGGAAGGAAGACTAGAGGGAGGAAAAAAGGAAGGAGAAATGAAGGAAGATAAAGTCCATTCCCAAATGGCAAGGAAGGAAGGAAGGAGAAAAGGAAGGAAGGAGAAGAGAGGGAGGAAAAAAGGAGAAGAGAGGGAGGAAAAAAGGAAGGAGAAATGAAGGAAGATATAGTCCATTCCCAAATGGCAAGGAAGGAAGGAAGGAAGGAAGGAAGGAAGGAAGGAAGGAAGGAAGGAAGGAAGGAAGGAAGGAAGGACGGAAGGAGAGAGGGAGAGAGGGGGGAAAAAGGAAGGAAGGGGGGAAAAAGAGAATTGAAGGAAGATATAGTTGAATCGCAAATGGCAAGGAAGGAAGGAAGGAAGGAAGGAAGGAAGGAAGGAAGGAAGGAAGGAAGGAAGGAAGGAAGGAAGGAAGGAGAAAGGGAGGAATATATAGTCCATTCCCAAATGGCAAGGATGGATGGAAGGAAGGAAAGAAGGAAGAAGGGAGGAGAAAAGGGAGGAGAGTCCATTCCTAAACAGTCTCTTCCAACTCTTATGATTCTGTGAAATACGCCTTCGAGTCTCCTTCTCGGGAGTGTTTTGAACACAGTCTGGCTGGCCATCCGTCGGGAGTGCTTTGATGGTGTCCCTTCCAACTTCTATGACTCGGCTGCCGGCAGCATGACGCCAGAGCAAGCTTTCTTTGGCTGAGGCAGCATTCCTGTCTCCAGGAGCGCATGAATCCCGGCCAAGAGACAGACGGGCTGCCATGGGACTGGCTCTGCAAAATCTGCCAAAGCCGGGAAGCTTAGTTCTCCATTGAATGGCACCAGAGGGAATGTTTGCACCAGATTCAGCAAAGACATAAACAAACACTCCGTTTCTCACCCAAGCCTACCTCACAAGGCCGTTGTGCAACAAAGCACGAAATACTATAATCTCTACCCTCGGGCCGCCTTAAATCCCTATATCGGGAGGAATAAAATAATATATAATTATATATATAATGGGGCTTGAGTATTATTATTACACTTAATAATAATAATAATAATAATAATAATAATAATAAACAATAATAGTGATAATAATAATATAAATTAATATATAATGGTAATAGTTATTATTAGATTATTTGATATTATTATTATCACTATTATTTATTATTATTATTATTACATTTAATAATAATAAATAACAGTGATAATAACAATATCAAATAATCTAAATAATCACTGTTATTTATTATTATTATTAAATGTAATAATAATAATAACAGTGATAATAATATCAAATAATCTAAATAATCACTGTTATTTTATTATTATTATTAAATGTAATAATAATAATAACAGTGATAATAATAATATCAAATAATCTAATAATAACTATTACCATTATATATTATTTTATATTATTATTATCACTATTATTGTTTATTATGCTATTGTGTCAGTAAAATAATAATAATAACAAATAACAATAACGGTGATAATAATATAAAATAATATTTAATAATGATATTGTTATTTATTACTATTATATTGTGTCAGTAAAATATTAATAATAAATAATAACGGTGATTATAATAATATAAAATAATATTTAATAATGATATTATTGTTATTTATTATGATATTGTGTCAGTAATAATAATAATAATAATAATAATAAATAATAACGGTGATGATAATAATATAAAATAATAATATATAATAATGATAATATTATTTATTATTATATTGTCAGTAAAATAATAATAATAAATAACAATAACGGTGATGATAATATAAAATAATAATATATAATAATGATAATATTGTTATTTATTACTATTATATTGTGTCAGTAAAATAATAATAATAAATAATAATGTGATAATAATAATATAAAATAATAATATATAATAATGATAATATTCTTTATTATTATATTGTCAGTATAATAATAATAATAACAACAAATAACAATAACAGTGATAATAATATAAAATAATATTTAATAATGATAATATTGTTATTTATTACTATTATATTGTGTCAGTAAAATAATAATAATAAATAATAACGGTGATAATAATAATAATATAAAATAATAATATATAATAATGATAATATTGTTATTACTATTATATTGTGTCAGTAAAATAATAATAAATAATAATGTGATAACAATAATATAAAATAATAATATATAATAATGATAATATTATTTATTATTATATTGTCAGTATAATAATAATAACAACAACAAATAACAATAATGGTGATATGATAATAATATAAAATAATAATATATAATAATGATAATATTGTTATTTATTACTATTATATTGTGTCAGTAAAATAATAATAAATAATAATGTGATAATAATAATATAAAATAATAATATTTAATAATGATAATATTATTTATTATTATTATATTGTGTCAGTAAAATAATAATAATAATAATAATAATAATAATAATAATAATAATAATAAATAACAATAACGGTGATGACAATAATATAAAATAATAATATATAATAATGATAATATTATTTATTATTATATTGTCATAATAATAATAACAATAACAGTGATGATGATAATATAAAACAATATGTAATAATGATAATATTGTTATTTATTACTACTATTATTATTAATAATTATTATATTGTGTCAGTAATAATAATAAATAATAACGGTGATAATAATAATATAAATAATAATATATAATAATGATAATAGTGTATTATTATTAGATTTAATAATAAGATATAACAATAATAGTGATAACATTAGTATAAAATACTATTGTATAATAATAATTTATAGTAATGATAATAGTGTTACATCATGCTCATATGAATAATATAAAATAATATATAATAATAATTGGGTATTATTACTAGATTTAATAATAATAATATAAATAATATATAACAACAATAATGGTGATACTATTAATATAAAATACTATTGTGTAATAATAATATATAACAATAATAGTGCAACATCGTACTCATATGAATAATATAAAATAATATATAATAATTGTGTATTATTACAAAATTTAATAATAATATAAATAATATATAACAACGATAATGGTGATACTATTAGTATAAAATACTGTTGTATAATAATAATAATAATAATAATAATAATAATAATAATATAACAATGATAATAGTGTAACATCATACTCATATGGTTTTTCTATACATTATAACTGTATTAACAATTCACTGGTGACACGATAAATAAATAAATATGATGATGATGATGATGATGATGCAAGCTGACCTTTCATAGTCCAGCTTTCCCATTCAGTTGCTAAATTTGGGAAGGTGAGTTTCCATGATGAAGCGTCTTCTTTGGAGATCGGTTTACGGTAATAAATCCACTTTATTTATACCCGCTGAGCCACAAGACAGCTATGCAAAAGGCGGACGCCCAGCAGATGCACGTGGATGGGAAAAAGGGGATTCGTGGCACTCGGATACTGGCAATGCCATAGGTTGCAATGGCATGTTGCACAATGGCACCCTC